GGCATCCCACCCAGACCCGTCACCCTATATCCCACTTAATCTACACATCCCTGAACACTACGGGCAATTTAGCATGGCCAATCCACCTAGCCTGCACATCTTTGGACTGTGGGAGGAAACCGGAGCACCCAGAGGAAACCCACACAAACACAGGGAGAATGTGCAAACTCCACACAGACAGTTGCCCGAGGGTGGGATCGAACCCAGGTCCCTGGCGCTGTGAGGCAACAGTGCTAACCACTGAGCCACCGTGCCGCTCCAAATGTTATCCCTAAACAAAAATGCCACTTTTGCACCCCCCCACTCTTTCTATCCTTCCTACAGCAACTATACCCTGCAACATTAAGCTGCCAGTCCTGGGCAATCCTGCCTTATGCTTTAATACACAGAGCACCTGCAATAAAGTGGATGAACTAATCATTCAGATAGATGTAAACAGGTACGATATAATTGGGATTACGGCGACAGGGATGGGAACGGAATGTCCTGGGGTATTCAGTATTTAGGAAGGACAGGCAAATAGGAAAAACTGGTGAGTTGGCACTGCTGGTTAAAGAGGAAATTAACACAACAGTGAGAAAGGATACGAGCTCTGATAATGTGGAGTCTGTATGGGTAGAGTTGAGAAATACCAAGGGCAAGAAACTTTAGTGGGTGTCATACACAGACCTCCAAACAGCAGTGGTGATGTCGAGAATGGCATTAAACAGGAAATTAGAGATGCATGTGATAAGTGAATATCAGTGATCATGGGTGATTTTAATCCGTACATAGATTGGGCAAATCAAATTAGCCACAAGCCCAAGAGGAGGAATTTGTGGAGTGTATATAGGATGGTTTTCACAATAATATGTGGAGGAACCACCTAGAGAGCAGGCCATCTTACACTGAGTGCTGTGTAATGAGAAGGAATCATTGTCAACCTAGCTGTGAGAGATCCTTGGGGAAGAGTGACCATAACATGATAAAAAAATTCAACCAAGATGGAGGGTGAGGTTGTTGATTTGGAGACGAGGGTGCTGAACCTTAATAAAGGAAACTACAAGGGTATGAGGCGTGAGTTGGCCTTGATAGACTGGGGAGAATTACTTACAGGGATGACAGTGGATAGGCAATGGCAAACATTCAAGGAATGCATGGGGGAACTGCAACAACTGTTTATTCCTGTCTGTTGCAAAAGCAAAATGGGTAAGGGGGCCAATCCATGGCTTATAAAAGGAATAAGAGATTGTATCCAATCCAAGGAAGAAGCATACAGATTGGCCAAGAAAAATTATAAATCTGAGGATTGGGAGCAGTTTAGAATTCAGCAAAGGAGGACCAAGTAATTGATTAAGAAGGGGAAAATAGAGTACGAAAGTAAACTTGCAGGAAACATAGAGACTGACAGTAAGAGTTTCTATTGGTACATAGACAGAAAGAGATTGTTGAAGACAAATGTAGGTCCCCTACAGACAGAAACTGGGGAAATGTATAATAGGGATCAAAGAAATGGCTGAGCAACTGAATACATACTTTAGTTTTGTCTTCACAAAAGAGAACACAAATCCGTTACCAGAAATGTTGGAGAATGCAAGATTTGGTGAGAGGGAAGAATTGGGGGAGGTCAATATTAGTAGAGAAACGATGCTGGGAAAGTTGATGGAATTGAAGGCGGATAAGTCCCCAGGGCCTGATAATCTACATCCCAGACCACTTAAGGAAGTAGCTCTAGAAATAGTGGATACATGGCTGGTCATCTTCCAGGATTCTACACACTCTGGAACTGTCCCTGGAGGATGGCTAATGTCACTGCAATATTCAAAAAGGGAGGTAGAGAGAAAACAGGGAATTATAGACTGGTCAGCCTAACATTGTAGTGGGGAAAATTCTCAAATCCATTGTCAAGGATTTTATAGCAGACCAATTAGAAAGCGGTGGCAGAATCAGACAGAGTTAGCATAGATTTACGAAGGGAAAATTATGCTTGACAAATCTGTTGGAATTCTACGAAGATGTAACGAGTAGAGGTGACAAGAAGCAGCCACTCGATGTAGTATATTTGGACTTTCACAAAGCATTTGACAAAGTCCCACATGAGAGATGAATGTGCAAGATTAAAGCATATGGGATTGGGGAAAGTGTATTGAGATGGATAGGAAACTGGTTGGCAGAGAGGAAACAAAAAGAGTAGGAATTAGAGGGTCCTTTTCAAATTGGCAGGCAGTAAGTAGTGGGGTGCCACAGGGATTGGTGCTGGGACCCCAGCTATTCGCAACATATATTAATGATTTGGATACAGGAACAAAACGTAACATCTCAAAGTTTGCAGATGATACCAAGTTGGGTAGGAGGGTGAACTATGAAAAGGATGCAGAGATCCTTTAGCATAATCTGGACAGGTTGAGGGAGTGGGCAAATCAATGGCAGATGCAGTATAATTTGGAAGCAAAAACAAGAAGGCAGATTACTACCTGAATGGTTGCAAATTGGGGGACGGGACTGTGCAGCAGGACCTGGGTGTCCTTGTGCACCAGTCACTGAAGGTAAGCATGCAGGTGCAGCAGGCAGTAAAGGAGGCAAATGGTATGTTGGCCTTCATTGCGAGAGGTTGAGAACAGGAGCAGGGATGGGTTGTTGCAGTTATACATGGCCTCGGTGAGACCACATCTGAAATATTGTGCACAGTATTGGTCTCCTTTCCCGAGGAAGGATGCTCTGGCTCTCGAGGGAGTGCAGCAAAGGTTCACCAGGCTCATTTTCGGGGATGAGGAGAGATTGACAAGGTTGGGATTGTTTTCTCTGGAGTTCAGATGAATTGGGGTCGGGGGGTGGGATCTCAGAGACTTATAAAATTCTAACAGGACTGGACAGGGTAGATGCAGGGAGGATATTCCTGATGGTGGGTGTGTCCAGAACCAGAGATCACAGTATGATGATTTGGGGTAGACCATTTAGGATGGAGATGAGGAAATATTTCTTCACCCAAAGAGTGGTGAGCCTGTGGAATTCATTATCACAGGAAGTAGTTGATACAAAAACATTGAATATATTCAAGACGCGACTAGATATAGCACTTGGGGCAAATGGGATTAAAAAATTATGGGAAGAAAACAGCATTAGGCTATTGAGTTGGACGATCAGCTATGATCGTGAAGAATGGCGGAGCAGGCTCGAAGGGCCAAATAGCCTCCTCCTGCTCTGCCATTCTTCTATATTTCTGAGCCACATCTCTCTAATTGCTACAATATCCCAGCCCCATCTTCCCAACCATGCCCTGCGTTCATCTCCTTTGGGGATTCCTTTTAAAAGTTAGGTTTTCAAAGATGTGAGGAAGTACGACATAGGTTCTGTATTTCAGTAATAACCACTTTATTAGTAAAGATCGCTGTTTTAAAGTCATTTATCCGATGCTTTCCTTTAAGAAGCACTGATTTCGAGAAATCAAAAACACAATTTAGGCCCAGATTTTATTGTCAATGACAAAGAAGTGATGCTCACTGTCCATTACAGTCACAGCTAATTGTGAGCACTGTATGGCAACTGTTAGAGATCTATTTCAAGGCAATAGCATCTACAAGACATCGAGCACCTGTGTGGACATGGAAGACAATAGCATGTCTATCCACCCCATAAGACTCAAGACTTGTCATTTGAGATGTGGAGAGTCTAAACCAGGAAGTGTATATTAGAATATTTCATACCATGCAAAATCATTCCAAAAAGTCAAATAACAAGAGAAGAAAGATGGGATTAAGTGAAAGAGATGAGGTAGAAAGAAAAGTAAATAAAATTCATTTTACATATAGTAAAAATTAAAATCAGGAATGAGAGTCCACATTTCTAAAAGCAAATTTTCGGTGTCAGAAAAATTGCTTGGTAATAAGAATTAAAGATGTATTAAAAATTCATTTATACTTGAATGCACGATCCCTAACATTTACTGATATGTTTTGTGTCTGTGAATGCCATGTCCCTCAATGAGATACCAGCACAGCAAAACTTGTGGGGCATAAGGGTAAACGAGACGGCAAATGCCTGATTTCTGGATTTAACTGTACCGGTATGGATGCTGGAAGTTGCAGGCTGATTTACTAAGTATACCTGAGCTACGATAGTTGAGACTCAGCATTATTACTCCAAATCTGGGTCCATTAGCACAGATTTTCCAGCTGGTATTTAGCGAGAAATGGAGCTCAATTGCGCTAATACTACCATTAGCATAGCTGAGATCAGATAATGTATCACTAAACATAATGGAGTATGGTTAGTTCCATGCAAGGGTTCTTAATTTCTCTTTGTGACTGTACCTATCAGGCACAGGCCCAAGCGACTTTTTAACCCCCTTTCCTAAGGTGGCCAAGGCTTCCCCAAGAATCTCAGCTGAATAAAACTAAATCAGCTCTGATCAGGCACAGAACCTTGGGTCTTTCTGCTCTTTAGGTTCAGTATCCTAATGGGTAGGACAGTCTTCAGGAGCAGTGAGTTGGGCCCTTTCATCTTGTGACTGAATATTTTTGTTTCAGTGTCTGCACAACACAGAATCACAAAAGTTACGGCGCAGAAGGAGACCATTCCGCCCACCGTATCTGCACCCGCTCTCCAAATGAGCATCATAACCTACTGCCATTTTCCTGGCTTTTTCCCACACCCTCGCTTCTATCCAAATAATCATCCAATGTGCAATGTCCTTTTGAATGCCTCAATTGATCCTCCCTCCACCACACTACCAGGTGCTGCATTCCACACCCTAACCACTCGTAAAAATACTTGTTTCTCACATCACGTTTGCTTCTTTTGTAAATCATTTTAAATCTCTGCCCCTCATTCTTGATCCTTATACAAGCAGGACCAGTTTCTCACTATCGACTACACCCCAGTACTCTCACGATTTTGGAAGTTTCAGTCAGATCTAAAAATGTGAAAAGGAAACTTGGTCTTAATGCCCTTTCACTGAAAATATAAAAGGTTTTAAGAAATCAAATTTTTTCTTTATCCTCACAACAATTACTAGCACTTACTGATGCCTCGGTCTTCGTGACTATCTTCATCTCTCTCGTCTCGATCATTTTCCAGGTTGGACATTCGCACAGACATTTCTTTTTTAAAAGAAAATTCAGATGGAAATTACTATTTTTATTAGTATATTTTCATGCAACATTTTCCTATCAATTCTTTCCTTCTATTTACAAGGAGAATAGGACTGCTTTCAGCTAGCGAATTGTTTTACCACATTAAACCCATTCTGGGAGCTGTGCCAAATCTGAAGAGTGTTAGAGATATCATAACACAAACAATGAAATGGAAGAATTCATGGAGTTAGTCCAAGCGAATAACCAGACAATCTTATTGCTACACTAAGCAACAGAACTGCTTTCCCATTGCTCTGACCTTCCTAACAGTCAGCTCATAAATCTCTTGTTCTGGGTGATTCATTGGCTTACCAGGTAGTGCCATTACCACCAGGGGAACAAGTGAATTCCAACATTCCTTAATGATGATGGATGGAAAATTCTACTACTTTTTGGTTACTTGGGTTTCACAAGCTAGGATAAGCCTGCTTCTTCTTTTCTAGCAAAGATCATTTCATCCATTATATCAAACATTCCTGACTGAAGTTTACGCATGTCAGACTATATTCTCTAGAGGTTGCCACTTTCTGCAGCTTTCTATCATAAACACGTTTTCTTCAAAATCCTGAAAAGGCCAGTTAATGTCCTTACCTTGTGCAGCGAGGGGGGACATGTGCTGGTGACTTCTTCGATGGATCTGGTGTCGGTAAGCATACACAGCTAGAACAAGCACCATGATGCACCCCATGATCCCACCAGCCACAGGTCCAACTGGGGCACTTTTAATCATGTTCAGTGCTATGACCTCATCTCCTATAATCAGAAATGTGATAAGTTATGAACAGATTGTTTGGCTCAATATCTGTACAAAAGTGTACGTTCACATAACAGCTTTGAAATAACACTCCATTGAACTTGAATCCAGCATTGGTTCAGTTAGTGATAGTCCATTTCCCAAGAGACCATCTCAGGCCTTATGGCACAAGAACACAAAACAATGCTAGGGGCATCTAAGAAGAAGTGACACCCTAGAGTTCTAGCACTTTGTCCACTACAGCAAAAAGGGATGGAGATGGGCTTAGTGATCTACAGACTGAAGAATACAGTCAGGCTCCCAAGCTTTCACTGTGGATGGAGTAGTACTGAGCGGAGCCCTGTCTGGCAGCTGGCAGCTCCCCTAGCTGTGAACAGGATTTGACAGATGCTGTTGAGGTTCACTGAAATATGCGGCTGTATTTTAAACCAGGCTTAGGAGCCAGATGTCCAGATCATGTTGAAACAGTATCAATGGTGGACTATGACTTAAAAGCGCAAAGGCCCTAATTGGGCCAAAGGCAGGTTCAGTGCCAAGGTGGCAGTGCTGGGTGCTCCGTGGAGACAGGAGCTCTTTCTGGAACAGGAGTTTCAATGGAAGATGGCAACCATGTCTTGGCTTGCTATTGCCTTGAAGAATGGAGCAGTAAGGAAAGCACAGGAACAACAGCCTCAAACTTTCCTCAAGTGGTACTTAATTCACTCTGCTAAAGCAATGGCAGCAGTGTGTCACTACAGGAGTGCCTCAACTGACTACACTTCTACTGCAAGATGTTAAATCAGCAATTGCAATAAACGACAGCTCCTCTGATAGGCTTAGGGTTAGGATTGCATGACTGTTGTGCAGTAAGGTGTCATACAACTGTTCACCCTTCCTTTTCTTACCTTTGAAAAGTTGATTACATCCCTCCCCAGCCCTTTAGCAAGCTCTTCAGTTAACTTGCTGTGAAGAGGGTGTCTGCTCTCTCCAACCCCAGGCTCCCTTTAAAACATGTCAAGAAAGTGTTGGAAAGCTGACACCTGAGGCCATCTGAGATGCTGTTTTCAAAGTACGCCCACACTCATCCTCACCCTCATGGGCAAACAAAAATCCAGCTCATGGTCACTTAACTGTAACATAGGAGGGTGGTTGGTGATTGTGGAACTTTTTGCTTTTAACGACTGACTTTTTTTTGAGAACAGAGTAATCAAAGAAATTGAAATCACCAATGTTAAACCAGCTTAAATAAAAAGAACCGTTCATTTGTTGCATTTTAGGCATTACAGTCATAATAAGGAAGGTACAGCGTACCTGGCCAATAGCACGTAAACATTATAAACTAGTCTACAGCCTGTCCTGTGGATTAATCATGGAAAATGATAGTCTGTTGCTGTGCTTATTGCTAGATCAATGTTTGGTAGATTTTGGCTTCAAGCTTTCTCTTGACATGGAGTGTTGAGAATATCCAGGCTAGCTGTTGGTGGTGGGCAGGAGCAATTATTAGATTTATAATTTTGTTTCTCCTATGATTTAGCCAGAGCAAATGAAGAGATTTTCTAGGGCAGAACTAGATGCTAGAATGTCCACATTGACTGGGTGGCAAAGTGCATTTTCACCACATAAATGGAATAAAGTAATGAGTATAACCATGAGGATCACAAGATCCCAAAGAGGCAATACAGTCAGGTGTATCATTGCACCACATCTTTAGACAGATAGGCTTGGTTTGACTTTTTTGATCCTGCTTGAAAGATATGAAAGACTGTAATTTTCCAGCACTCCAGCTGACTGTGGCGTTCCATTCAAATCAGGTTTGGGTGTAACATTGGAGGAGGCAGATTCCAATGCCACAGTGCAGACAGGTGAATTAGCTTAGCCAAGTTACATTGTTGGCTTTGAATAGTGTTGCCTGATGGATCTGGAATTTGTTCAAAGGTTTGAACGGCTCTGCTTTTAATAAACCTTGACAGCTTTTGAACAATCTCATCCTATCAAGACTGCAGATTCCCATTCTGCACTCCACTTGGACGTGAAGTGATAGCTTAATCTCCCTGTGTAGGGTGCCTAAACAGGAAACAAACTCTGCCAATTACCTGTCTTCAGAATTACAAGATAAAATTTAAATCCTGTGAGAATAGCACTTGTATCATGTAATATCAAGAGATGGGCTTTACGCGTTGGGAAGAACAAAGGCTTCAGCCAAGATTAACAAGTTGTACATATGTCAACTGGGATGCGCTACACTCCTGGCTGAAACAGCTCACCAATTAATTACTCAGCCTAGAAAACATGATTGCTAACAAACTGGGTCCAACAACAAAATGTAGCCTTACAACTGAGTTAAGGAAAAGAAACAATAACAGGGATAAGACCATTTTCATGTTAAGAAAGGTAAAAAAGTTTTAAAGGCGCATTTAATTAATTTAACATTTTAATTACCTATTTTATTTGGAAGGAAGAATGTGTGCAAGCCAATATGTGAAGCATGTGTATGTATTTAAACCAAAAAGGAGTCACAATTGCAACTGGATTCAACTGAATAAACTATGTGACACTTCAGTTTTAAGCTACAGTAATTAGTTCAGGGAACCTGTTCCATGAAAGTCACAATGGGATAATTGTTCTCCCATAATGAAATGCCCGTCTTTTCAATGGACAGTCTAATTCCTGAAAAACCAGACATCAATTATTATTGGAATGTTAGTATTCAGTTGCTTTCATATTCCCAAACTAAGCTAGTGCCACTTGCCTGCATAATTTGGCCCATATCTCTCTAAACCTTTTCTAGTCATGTACTTATCTAAATGTCTTTTAAATTTTGTAACTGTACCCACATCCAACCCTTTCTTTGGCAGTTCATTCCACACAGGAACCATTCTTTGTGTAAAAAAGTTGCGTCTCATGTTCTTTTTAAAACTTTCCCCTCTCACCTTAAAAATACCCCCCCTAGTTTTGAACTCCCCCACCCTAGGGAAAAGACTCTTGCTAGTCCTGGATAACACAGTGTGGAGCTGGAGGAGCATAGCAGACCAGCCAGCGTCAGAGGAGCAGGAAAGTTGACGTTTTGGGTCAGGGCCCTTCTTCAGAAACGGGGAGGGGGAAGGGCGCTCTGAAATAAATAGAGGGGGGTGGTGGGGCTGGGGAAGGTAGGTGGGATGGTGATAGGTGAGTGTGGGTAGGAAGTGGTGGGGATTGGTCAGTGGGATGGGTGGGGTGGATAGATGGGAGAGAAGATGGACAGGTTGTGTCAGGTCAAGGAGGCAGGGATGAGAGGGTGAGTTGGTCGTGGGATGAAGCCAGGGGTGGGGAGATTTTAAAGCTGGTGAAGTCGATGTTTAGGCCATCGAGCTGTAGGCTCCCCTGAGGTGCTGCTCCTCTAGTTTACATTCATATTGGCCTAGAACTAATGGGATAACATTCCTACAGATTTGACTGGATAGTTCAAAGGTGGTAAACAATTCATAAAATAAGTGAGGAATTGTATTCTGTTTCTTACAGCAGTTCACCATTCCTTTATTCTTATAGCTCAATGAATAGGAAGAACCAGGAGCAGGAGTAGGCCATCTGGCCCATCAAGTCCACTCTGCCTTTCAATAAGATTGTGGCTGGTCTTTTCATGGTCTCAGCTCCACTTACCCACCCTCTGACCATAACCCTTAATTCCTTTACCGTTCAAAAATGATCTATCTTAGCTTTAAAAGCATTCAAGGAGGAAGACTCAACTACTTCACGAGGAAGGGAATTCCACAGATTCACAACCCTTTGGGTGAAGAAGTTCATCCTCAGCTCAGTCCCAATCTGCTCCCCTTCATTCTGAGGCTATGCCCTCTCGTTTTTGTTTCATCTGCCACGGAAAACATCCTCCCTGCTTCTACTTGATCTATTCCATTCATAATTTCATATGTTTCTATAAGATCACCCCTCAGTCTTCTAAATTCCAATGAATATAATCCCAGTCTACTCAATCTCTCCTCAAATGCTAACCCTCTCAACTCTGGAATCAACCTAGTGAATCTGCTCTGCACTCCCTCCAGTGCCAGTACATCCTTTCCCAGGTAAGGAGACCAAAACTGCAGAGTACTCCAAGTGTGGCCTTGCCAGCACCCTATACAGCTGTAACATAACCTCCCTGCTTTTAAACTAAATCCCTCTAGCAATGAAGGAAAAAATTCCATTTGCCTTCTTAATTACCTGTTGCAACTGCAAACCAACCTTCTGCAAATAATGCACAAGGACACCCTGGTCCCACTGCACAGCAGCATGCTGCAATTTTTTACTGTTCAAATAATAATTCTTTCTACTGTTATTCCTACCAAAATGGATGACTTTACACTTGTCAACATCATACTCCCACTCATCTTAGCGTCATCCGCAAACTTTGACATACTACACGAGGTCTCCAACTCCAAATCATCTATGTAAATTATAAACAATTACAGTCCTAACACTGATCCCTGAGGCACACCAGTAGTCACTGATCACCAACCAGAAAAGCACTCATTTATCCCCACTCTTTTCTTCCTGTTAGTTAACTAATCCTCTATCCATGCTAATACATTGCCTGTAACGCTGTGCACCTTTATATTATGCAGCAGCCTTTTGTGCGGCACCTTGTCGAATGCCTTTTGGCAATCTAGATACATCCCATTCTCCACCGCACTCGTAATGTCTTCATAGAATTCCAAAAATTAGTCAAACATGACCTGCCTTTCGTGAACCCATGCTACATCTGCCCAATAGGACAATATCTATCTAGATATCTTGCTATTTCTTCCCTGATGATAGATTCAAGCATTCTTCCCACTACAGAGGTTAAACTAACCAGCCTGTAATTCCCCATCTTTTGTCTATCTCCTTTTTTAAACAGTGGTGTCACATTGGCTGTTTTCCAATCTGTTGGAACTGCCCCAGAACCTAGCGAATTTTGGAAAATTACCACAAGTGCATTTGCTATTTCTCCCACCATCTCTTTTAGTACTCTGGGATGCATTCCATCAGGGCCAGGAGACTTGTCTACATTTAGCTCCATTAGCTTGCGCAACACTGCTTCTTTTGTGATAATGATCATTTCTAGGTCCTCACCTACCTTGGTCTCCTTGTCATCAATTACTGGCATGTTATTCGTGTTCTCCACTGTGAAAACTGACACAAAATACCTGTTCAATGCCTCAGCTATTTCCTCATTTCCCATTATTAAATACCCCTTCTCATCCTGTAAAGGACCAATGCTTACCTTAGTCACTCTTTTTCACTTTATATATTTATAGAAACTTTTGCGATCTGTCTTTAAGTTTTGAGCTAGTTTAATCTCATAATCTATCTTACTTTTCTTTATTGCTTTTTTTGTGGCTTTCTGTTGACCTTTAAAAATTTTCCAATCATCTAGTTTCCCACTGGTCTTTGCCACTTTATATGCCTTATCTTTCAATTTGATAGCGTCCCACTTCCCTAGGCATCCATAGCTGATTACCTCTTTTTCTACAGTCCTTCCTTTTCACTGGTATGTACTTTTGCTGAGCACTTGATAAATTGCTTTGAAAGTCCTCCACTGTTCCTCAACTGTCCCACCATAAAGTCTTCGCTTCCAACTCCTCCCTCATCCTATCGTAGTCTCCTTTGTTTAAGCACAGGACCCCAGTATTCGATTTTATCTTCTCACTTTCCATCTGTATTCTAAATTCAACCAACTGTGATCGCTCCATCTTTGAGGATCCCTAAGTATGAGATCATTAACTACTCCTGTTGCATTACACAGGACCAAATCTAGGATAGTTTCCTTCCTCGTTGGTTCCATTACATACTGTTCCGGAAAACTATTGTGGGAACATTCAATGAACTCCTCCTCAAGGCTGACTAAACTGACCTGGTTCGAGCAATCGACATGTAGATGAAAATCCCCCACGATAATTGCCATACCATTTTTACAGGCATTAGTTATTTCTTTGTTTATTGCCTGTCCCAACGTGATGTTATTATTTGGTGGGCCTATAGACTACGCCTATCAGTGACGTTTTCTTCTTAGAAATTCTAATTTTCACTCAAATGGATTCAACCGTATTCTCCATAGAACCTATAAGATGTCATCCTTAAATATCAGAGCACCACCACCTCCCTTACCATCCTCTCTGTCCTTCTGCATAGTCTGATACCCCTGAATATTTAATTCCCAGTCATGACCATCCTGCAACCATGTCTCTGTAATGGCTACTAAATCATACTCATTGGCGATGATTTGTGCTGTTAACTCATCTGCCTTGTTTCGAATGCTACGATCATTTAGGTAAAGTGTCTTTAGGCTAGTTTTTATACCTTCTTTTTGAACTCTAACATCTCCATTAATAATATCTCCTGAGTTTTCCTCCCTTTTAACTTCTTTCATAGAGTTCGATATAGTTAAACCCTCCTACACATGTTAACCTGTTGCTTTCTTTTTTCTATTTACCATTATACTTCCTGTCATTTTCCCCTTCCCTTCCCTCCCCTCAATTCACCTGTTTAAAGTCCTAGTGACCACCATATTTATCCTTTTCGCAAGAACACTGGTTCCAGATCGGTTCAGGCGGAGACCATCCCAATGGTACAGATCCCTCCTGTTCCAAACCTGATGCCCATGCCCCATGAAATACTTACCCAGAGCAGGCATGTCGTCTATATATGGGCTCTTGGCTCCCACAATTCCACCGAAGCATTCTTTCTGGGAAGCGCAATATGGTTCAGCCAGATGCGTTTTTCCATCACTATCCACCATACACCATTCACAATCTAAAACGCCAAAACAATCTCTGAAATATAAAGAAAGAGATCAGTCTTTATTGATTCTTGCTGAATAATGGGTTCAAAAACACTAAATTGCCCCTGATAACTCCCCTGAGTGAGCCTGACACAGTTGAGTACCTCTAAGCAGTTTGATGGTGGGAGTAAAAGAGTTGAGCTAATTTTATCCTCCTCCACTGTCAACGCATCTTCCAGAAAAGTTCACAGGGGACCAGCAGGAGAAGGAAACCTTGCTAAATTTTTCCCATTTCACAGCACACATTAGTATTAACTCAATCTGGAAGTAGTGGCAGCATTTCTCAATTGTTTGATGATAGTTAATGCTTTATTTAAGGGCAATAGCAGCTTGGTTATTTTATAGCATCATCATCAGCAGTTTCTCGACTTTTGTAGGAGCAATACAGATTAATATTCCATCAACTGCTACTGGTGCTATTTTTGCTTTCATAACAGTCAGTAACTTGTCCAAAATCAGACTCTATTCAAAACAAGAAAACATTTAATTTACCAAAAGACAAAAAAGGTAAGAAAAAAAAAATCAATCTTGATTCACTACAGTTCTATTTAATTGGAAAATGATTCCCGGATTTCAAATGATGTCGTGGTCAAGGATAAAACAACAAATCCATTCTCTTGCAACTTCTGTCAAAAATTAAAAGAGATTGTCTCACACATCTCAGGCTCAGGGATTTAGACATTGTAACATTACCCGCTCGATGTCCTTTGGCGGCATCTGGTGTTAATGCACTGAGGGAGGCTTTCCTGTAGACTGGGGTCAAAGGCAGCAAGGGTCAGTGGCTCCTGATGTACTTCACAACTAGGATTTCTATTTTAATTAAAAAAAAAGTCCATTACTTACATAGCAGCATTTGCTGATATATTTACTTCAAAAAATTATTCAGCGTATCATATTTCTCCCTGATCTCTCTTGAAGCGTTGATTTCTTGCTAAGGAAGTATTCTCAAATCTCAGTAGCAGTATGGTACATTGGCAAACCATGCAACGGCTCAATTATATTACCAGGACAATTGCACCTCAAGAAAAATTGTGATGTGTCTTGCCTGCTTTCAGCATTGGTCAAGTTGCCAGTACATTCATTCACCTCCAGGGGGCATTCACAAGGGCACTCGCACTCATTCTGTTCCATCCTGAACAAAAACAAGATGCTGGTTATTAAATACAAATAAAAATTCATTGCAGGAGAACAAAATTCTCAGGTTCTCAACAATATTTTTCTGAACAGATATATTATTGAAAAATCAACTGACAATGCATCTCTCCTTCCTTCTCACCCTCAAAACGGCCTGCTTCACATCCTGATCAAAAGGCCGGCTCAGAGAGAGATCTCAACTTGTTGGGCACTATTTCTATAGTTATGACGCAATGTATTGTAGCACTCCAATCTTCTTAGAGGCATGAAAATTTATAATATTCATTATTCCTCTTAGGAGTTTATGGAGACCAATCAGTTAATCAGAGAGGGCGGTCTATAAGCATATGGGATTTTATGCATTAAAATTAGGAAAATCCAACAGGTCCAAGTCTAGTTGCCAAGAAAGGTATAACTGTAATGCAATTGCATTTGAGCCACAATTTGCACAGTTTACGGTGGAGCTGGAATCCAGATTTCCAAGTCATTTAGCATGTGAAAACATCCAGATAGCAGAAATTGGGTGTACCTCCTGTGTATCACTCAATGCCCAAAAGTACTTTTGAGTTGTGACTGTAGAAATTCACTAAGATTTAAAAATTCTTCCATTAGTCAGATATCTGAGAGCTGATGCCGGCTCTATTGTGGACGTTCTAAATGCCCTGAAGAATTTCTGTCTCATCACTTTTACTAAGACTTCAATGCTCACACCCACGAAAACCTCAACATCGCCAGTGTTTCTACAGAGACAGGTGTCAGAACCAAAAAATGCACTTCAGAATTTTAAAATTTATTACATTGAACTCTTAAAAGTATGTATTTGTTGCCAGCAAGAATGTCATAGCTGAAAACAATAGGAGGCATATGTTTGTATCATAGGACTTATTGAACACCAGTTATAATTTATTAGCTGCTATGTTTTGTGTAATGTTGTACCCTTCATTGCACCATTCTATCGAATAGCACATCACTGACCTGTGACAGTTCAGGCAAAGTCTGTCCACCATACTGCAGGCACAGAAAGCAAGTGCATCACATGTTTCGTTAACAATTCCAAGAAATGCATTGGTGCCAGGAATCCTGGTTAATCGGTATTTTGAACAATGGCTACCATGGACAAGGTTGGTCAAATCACCCTATCAAAGGTAGTACAAAATAACATGAAAATACCAAAAGCTTACAATAATCAATTAAATTCTTCCAATAGCACAACAGAAAGAGTTGGCCATGTTGACCAGGTATTGTGCAATGCAATTGAACTAATTAACAACCCGATAACAATTGTAACGACAATTACAATACAATTGAATTAAGGAGAACAGTGGGTCAAAGCTTAGTATTTTAAACTTAGGTAAGGGTAACTGTGAGCCCACAAAAGCAGAGATAGCCAAAGCAGACTGGCAAATTAAGTTAAAAGATAATTCAATAGAGATGCAGTGACAGGCATTTAAGGAGTTATTTTAGAATACACACTAGTTACGAGAAAGAAAAATTCTAAAGGGGGGCGGCCGTCAAACACATAGCCACACACAACTAAAAAAAGTAAAGATAGCATCAAACTTAAAATAAAAAGCAGACGCTACCTAATGAGTTGGTAGGATTTGCAATGCACTGCCTGCCTGATAGGGTGTTGGATATAAATTCAATAGCAACTATCAAAATAGCAATTGGATGAATCTTCAAAAAAAAAAATGCAGGATGTGGACAGGACTGCTTTTTGAAAAAACTATCACAGACTGAAATGGGGTGAACAGCCACCTTCTGAACTGTACTAGTCTGTAGTACAATGAAGGCGTTTCAGAAGAGAGAAAAACCTGACTGAGCCTATGATTGAGCTCTGACACTGCCAGCAGCTCAACAATCTTTCCAACAGCTTCTGAAAGCAGGACTTTCTCCCAAATGAGGAGTGGAAATCCCACTGCTTTGCAATTTAGCTGCTCTCTCCCATCTTACTGGTGCTGGGTGCAATTACATGGTACAATCCAGTTTCTGGCTGATATCCCTAGGCTTCGTTGCCCACAAATCGGAGTTCCTGATTTAATTGGCATGACTGTAGGAGGAAAGCCCATGTATCAGATGAGAAGGTTGCCCCTTCTTGCCCCATCACCTATTACTGTGGCATAAGAACAAGGAGAGAACAGTTAAGTCAGGCACAGTTCTATGAAGTCTTATGAGGGGAAATGAACAGTGTAAGTGAAAGGGAAGAGGATCCAAAATATCCCATGAAGATAGAAAACCCTGGCTGCACTGCAAAATGAGTATTTTCAAAAAGTCATTAAACAACCTAATTTTGAAGATTTTAACAAATCTTTTTAAGTTCTCAGTCTTAGTTCATTTTCATGGATTGCAATCAAATGGTTAAGCCAGTCTACAGAAAACAGTTCTCCATTTGGTCCTATTTCTAGCAGACAGACTTTAAAAGCTGACTTACTACAATACTGGTGTTAAACTTGTAGAATCGTTGCACTGTCCGGTCACTGAAGCTGTTGCAAAGATTTTTCTTCACAAAATTTGGATGGTTTAGAATGTCATTAGCCACAAGCGGTTCCTGACATGAAAAATAATGGAAAAACAATTAGCTTGGACTTTGTCATAAAATTATACTGGGACGACTACAACGTCATATTTCTAACAGCAAGGAAATAGCTACTTGTTGGAATCACAACCCAATGCACCTCACCCTATTCAATTGTCTGTCACCCCCCCACCACGCCCTAGGAATTCCCAAGCATTGTTTGCTTGAAATGTGAAATGTGAAGAACCCAAACCAAACTGCTGATTTTTCAAATGATTGGCTCCAATTATCCACAGGGATATTTCTGGATCTGAACTGCTTAAAACCACACAGCTTATCACCATATTACATTGGTATGGCTTTCACCATTTGCCCAAAGAGGACCACTGTATCAGCTGGAACAGTATTATTCAAAATAAAGTACTGACTAGCTACAAATGTGGCTGTGCAGGCACTGTGTTGAAGCTCATGAACTGAGTTTAGTGTAACGCTGATGACATACAACACAGACAGATGTGCTTCATGTGTAGATTTATTAAATCTACCACCATAAAGTGGACCAGGAAAATCACACATAACAAGCAAAACACTCGCACGCTCTGCTTCTAGTCTTAACATTTTATCAACAAATAAACAAAAGTATTCAAGCAGTCTGCATGTAAATAAGCACCAAGACCACAGATTCAACCACTATGTTTATTATTCATTTTTTAAATGTACTGTTCATACATTTGCAATAGTCATTGCTGTATTCCAAATTAGCCGCATCTGGTTACAGGCTACTGTGGCGAATAACAGCGAATTAGAGAATAAAGTCATGGTGTTATTTGTTGTCACTGTAAAAATATCAAGCCCCAGTGAACAGTAGACCTCTCTAGGACCAATCAACAACAACGACCTGAAACTATAGCCGGCTAATTCTGGGATTGGATTATTGAGCCTACCGCAGAGAATTCAATCCATTCCAATATTCTACCTCCAGGCATATTATTTTGGACATAAAACAAGACCAAACAAATCTCTTTCATGTCTTCTCCAGAAGAAATGTACAGTTTAATAATAGTACTCAACCACTGTTTCCTTTTAAATAATACAAAAACACACAGTGTCGAGAATAACATTGACACTCTCTAAGTCAGCCAACCTCTAAATTGACCAAGGTCTGACTAGGTTCACTGGCAATTGATATGATGTTCCAATATGTATTAAAAAATTAACCGCTCAAAAACTAGTACCTTGTGGGTGATATGTTGTTGCTCCACCGGAGCATGCCCTTTGGGGTCAATCAATGTTGGATGTGCCAAGAGATAACCTTTATCCTCCATAATAAAGCACCTAATGAATAAAAGCCAAACATACAGCAGAGCTTCCATCATCTAAAACAACTTAATTTTTAACGTTTAACTGTAAAAGGCTTTTCTTTTTGCAAGTTCTTAACAATTCAATAAAAAAGCAGAGACCTAGATGATCATCATTTTAAAAAGTTACATTAAAGTGAAACATGAACAAAGCATGTGCCAGGCTGAACAAGCAATATACAGCCTCCATCACTGAACTGGAAAATAAAAGTGCATGCCTGTGAACGTAAACGGGACATTCTAACAACAAAAAAGGTCATTGTCAATGCTAAATAAAGATGAATTACAAGTGACTATTTTAAGTAGTCTTTTTATTGAAGTCAAGCCTTATTAAATTGCAGAACACCATGTTGGAATTACCTGATTTTGTTGCCTCCATCTTGATTGCAGATGGGTAGCAAATCCAAAAGAACCTTATAGAAGTATCGTAGAGTAAAGTCAACACCCATCACAGCTACAGCATGTCCTGGTGCTGACAACGATCTTTGGAGAAGGAAATAGTATTAATACTTTGTCAGATTTCTCGCAAACACCCATCAAAACAAAAGGTGCATTTTGGCTACTTTTGCCACATTTCATTTCCGTTTAGCTGAAATTTGTCAGATTTAATACAAGCCATTCTTAGGTAATTATTTGGAAATCTACATGCAATAGAAAATACCATACTCATAGCATAGGCTAATGGTACTGCTATATAAGAACAAAGACCAAAGAAAATTACAGCACAGGAACAGGCCCTTCGGCCCTCCAAACCTGCGTCGATCCAGATCCTCTATCTAAACCCGACGCCTATTTTCCAAGGATCTGTCTCCCTCTGCTCCCTGCCCATTCATGTATCTGTCTAGATACATCTTAAATGACGCTACTGTGCCCGCCTCTACCACCTCCGCTGGCAATGCATTCCAGGCACCCACCACCCTCTGCGTAAAGAACTTTCCACGCATATCTCCCTTAAACTTTTCCCCTCTCATCTTGAAATTGTGATCCCTAGTAACTGAGTCCCCCACTCTGGGAAAAACCTTCTTGCTATCTCAGTTAATTGTAAAAAAAAACAATAAATGGACCATCTGATGATATTGGAACTTGGTCAGCACTCAGCAGATTAGTTTCATGGAGAAAACAAAGGTATGTCACCTTCCCGAAAATCATGTTAAAAAGTAAGACCTTATGGTTTAACATAAAGCTTCTGGAAGATTTTATTTTGTTGAGTTCAATGATCTACCTCAACCTTTTTCACTTAAACAAAACAAAAGGTTTATTATGCATCTTTAGAAAGACACTACTCACCAAATAGATTGTATAGCATTAGTGCCATGATGGATATTTAAAATCTAAAGTTTACCTGGAAGAATGAATAGTGTGGCTGAGAGTCACCACATAACCTGCTCCTCCAACATCAAGGTATGGGCCAGTAAAGGTAATCAGAGCTGGGTTAGCCATTGCATGGAGATACCTAGAAACAACAGTACAATTTCACAGGATAAAAAAAAACTTACTCAGTACAATATTTTATGCATGGAATTCAGTCTTTTTAAAAATAGGGCAACAATTTCTTTTTCCTTTTGGCATGTTATTTCATACCATCTAACCTCCAGCCATCCACTAATACTGCTCACAGGGAAGTAAACGAGAGCCACTACGTTAGCAGTCTTTTTCTGCATTCCCTCCCCTGCAGAGGGGTAAACTGTCTCAGTGCAAACTCTGTGCCAAAACAGATATGTGACTGAGATAAGCAACAAAGACCCGGGGCACCACATCCGTACACTTTGTTCATAGTATGATTGGTTTGACTATCAACACATTAACAAGAAAAACTGAGGGGCAATATAACTGGCCTCAGTGTTTCTGAGCAATAAAATGTATTCCCAGCTCCAGATTACAGCAGGGTAGGTTAGTGAATAGTAACCCTACCTAATGCCTTACCACTTGCCTCACCCAATCCCTACCCATTTATACATCTACGTTCATCTAGTCGCTCATGCACCAATTCACTAGAATAATGAAAAAGTTGTCAACATGTCCTAAAGCTTTTCCGTGTGCTCGTGAACACTTGCCAAAATATGGCAGCAAGTGCCGTAAAATGCGAGGGTCGCTTCTGCGCAGACTGCCTTCATTGATGACTCTGAGGTTTCCTATGTTGGAGTTCTACAGCATCTTCTATTGGAAGATTGGCCAGAAAAATCAGAGAAAAGCAAGTGGGTGATTTTTCATCTGATCAGGGTTGAAAAGAGACATTCCAACCCCTGATCAGAATAATAGAGCTTGCTTGAGGTACCCTTGCAGTAAAATAGCTTGCTAACTTCCAGTGCCTGCGTTCACAATTAAAGAATGACAAGTTTGAATGAGGTACCAGGAAGGAATCATTCTGCAGAAGAACTTACACTTTGAAGGATGAAAAGGATAGTTTTTGGTGGGACGAGAGAGTTGGAGGAGTGCGCAGCTGAAGAATGTGTGCAGAGTAGGTAAAGAAATATTATGAGGGCAATTTGTTGTATGAAATAGTCCAATTATGAAAGGAAAGTTTTACTACTCTCCAGTTACATCGGTCGCCCGATTCACAGAAGAAACAAGGAGCACATCCACACCATTCTTAAATGGAAAATATAAGCAGTCAAAGAAATTACTGAATTTAAAAATCAAATAATCTTCGATGCAACATCAACAAAAAGATACTTTAACTACATAAATACAAAAAACATCATTAATCACTTTAGTCTAAAGACAGGCCCTGTAGACTGTGGCAGGACTCAAACACTTTTTTTTAAAATAAAGAAACTTTGGTTTTCAGGCAATCTGGAAAACACTTCCTGTGGATCCTGTAAAACTCACCACTGTCTCCTGGTGGGATCAAATGCTTTATCCATGAGAGAACCAGGGTAAATCCGGAGCACCCCATTGGGCGTTGCTATGTAACGCCGAACAATGTAACTGTTCAGGATACCAATTTCCATTTGTGACATCCATTCATCTGTTACGTGACTGGTAGCCATGACTTCGTTTCTGACAGAGGACTACACACAGGCAGAAAAAAAAGCACACACACACAAGTCTTCTTAAAGATATGCCTGAGAAGTTTCAAAGCTGTGAATCAATCCTGTTAAAACGCTTTTTAAACAGACTGTATAAAATTGTAAAGACAGTTCCCTAGTATATTGAAAAAAAAGATTCTGTGCAGATTTCAGTGTTCCAATTTACCCAGGCAAGAGAAATACAATTTGCCTAATTTCACACAAGCGCAAACCTGATATATTCCCTGTTGAGATTTTTTTTTAAATTCAGAAACCTAGCAAGGGTCAAGGGTTATAGTACAGGATACCACCAAGTTCAAAAAGAATTGAAGATTAGGTGTGATTAATCAGGAACTATGATTAGGTCAGGCATGAGTTCTCAAAGCATACAGACTGAAGGAGAAAAGAAAGACATGGGAAAGCAAGGTGTACAAGATTTGAGATCATAGATAAGGTTAAACAATTACTACAAGGAACTGCAATTTTATTGCAGAAATAAAATAAGGAGAACGAGGGCATGTGTAAATCTTTATCTCAAAATGAACAAGAGGAGAAAGTCAGGGAAGGCGCCTGCATGAACGGTTCACACAAAATTGAGCGAATGTGTGAGCACGTTCCTGAGAACAGATAATTTCAGTACAGCTATTCCACTCCTGGTAATGAATGCGATCAGGGAGAAAGAGAGCTGAATTTCCATGCTATGTGCATTTCATTCAGCAGTTCAAGCACAGATTGTGTTGTTTTGATTGTGCCTGCACAGAATGTTTCCAACTCTATGACACTAGGTGATGGTCATGGCTGCAGCAATTTTAAATGAAGAATTAAAAGCCAATACAAAAGCATATTACACAACAATCAAGCAGCATTTGTTCATGGTCAAAAACAATAATGAACAAACCAGGGTAAGAATTCCTAACCAGAAACAAAAACAGAAAGTGCTAGAAAAGCTAAGCAGGTCTGGCAGCATCTGTGGAGAGAAACCAGGGTTAACGTGTTGGGTCGAGTGACCCTTCCCCAGAATTCCTAACTTTGGAAGCAACTGATTCAATGATGCAAGAACAAAGCTGAGCCAGATGGAATGGGACAAAAAGGTGGGCAGGAAAAACTGCAGATGAACAATGGGCTATCTTCAAAGAAGACATGATCTGTCACAATCAAGATGAATGAAATGAACAAATATTTTTGCTTCTATCTTTACCTCAGGGGAGACAAAGAACATTCCAGTAATAGCTATAAATAAGCAATAAGGGGAAATCAGGTTTCACTAACCTGCTGGAGATTTTATAACAGAAGATGCCAACGAGGATAATGCTGTTGATGGATGTACGTGGAATTTCAAAAGGCATTTTATATAGTGCCACACAACAGTCTTGAGCAAAGTTAAAACATAGGACATAAAAGGGCCAGTAGTAACATGGATTCAAAACTGGCTGAGTGAAAGGAAATAGACAGCAGTGCCAATGGATATTTTTTATGCTTGAGGAAGATGTATAACGGAGTTCAGCAGAGATTGGTGTGGGACCCCTGCAAATACTACGTCAGGGCTTCCCAAATATCGGGTTGAGACCCCAAGTGAGGTCAGAGGCTAAAAAACTTTTGGGTCATAAGCTCTGAGACCAAAACGGCTGCCATGGTCTTCTAACTAAGATGCAGTGACTGTATTTTTATAAAAGGGGAAATTGTGTTTAAATTGCTGCAGATATTTTTTGAAGTGGTAATAGATAGAGTTGATGACGGTAATGCTGTTGATGTGGCGTATATGATTTCTAAAAGGTGTTCAATACAGTGAAGCACAAAAGACTCGTGGAAAAAGTTACAGCTTGCAAAATAAAAAAGGGGCAGTAGCAACATGATACCAAAACTGGCTGAGTGATGGGAAACAGTAATGGTTAATGGATATTTTTCAGGCAGGTAGCAAGTTTTGAGTTACCCAGGAGTTGCTTTTGGAATCATTGCTTCTCCTGATATATATGTTAATGATCTCGACCTTGCTGTACAGGGGACAATTTCAAAAGATTGCAAATGACAAAATAATACATGCAGGTGAATGTATTGTAAGCTGTGAGGGGAATAGTGTAAATTTCAAGATAACATAGACAATTTGGTGGGAGTGGGCAGACAAGTGTCAGATGAAGTTCACTGCAGAGAAATGTGAGGTGATTAACTTTGGGTAGAAAGAACACAGAGAGACAATTTTAAACAAAGAACACTACTTTAAAAGGTTTGCAGGAGCGAAGAGCCTGCAGTGTACCTGTGTACAAGCGATTAAAGGTGGTAGGACAAATGGAGGTAGCAGACAATAAAGCATTAAATATTATAAGCATTATTAATAAGGCAGAGAGTACACTTGCAAGGAGGTTATGCTGAAATTGTATAAGACACTAGTTAGACCTCATTTGGAGCACTGTGTTTAATTCTGGGTGTCAAACATTAGGACAGATGTGAAATGCACTAGAAAGTGCGCAGGACAGGTTTATAGCAATGGTTCCAGGAATGAGAAAATTCAGTTATGAAGATATGAAGAGTGGGGAGGTTGGGGCTGTTTTCTTTGGAGTCAAGAAAACGAAGAGTAAATTTTATAGAATCTTTCAAAATCATGAGATATCTGGACAGAGTAAATAGGGAGAGACTGTTCCCAGATGTAGAAGAAAGACGAATGAGAAGGCACAGATTTGAAGGAATCTGCAAAAGCAGCAAACATTATGGGAGGAAAAACTTTTATCACACAGTGAGTGCTTAGATCTGGAATACACTGATTGGAGGTGTGATGGAGGTAGGTACAAAGAGGACATTAAATGACTATTTAAACAAAAATAATGTACTTGATTGCAGGAAAAAGACAAGGGAATAGCACAAAGTCATGATGCTCATTCAGAGAGCTTTTGCAGACAGAATGGACTAAGTGGCCTTCTTCTGCACTGTGACAATTCTGTGATGGGAGTTTTTATTACTCTCTTTATATTTGTGCATTGTACAAAGCGTCATTAACCACTTTGACATCTGGCTCAGACCTTTTAAAGCTACTGGGAGGGTTTATCTCAATTCACAGTAAAGTTGATTCATTGCTATTTTTAGAGTGAGGGCCACACATTGATAATTTACTAAATGTAAATGACAACTTACAGACAAAATCCAGTGGTTCTGCAAAGCACACATTTTATGCATAACTATAAGCTGAAGGGCTGTCATCAGCTTCGCACATTAATAAAGCAATATCATAAGCACAAACACTGCACTGCAGTACAAAGAGTCTTAATTTTAATTTCTGCTCAATGTTTAAAACAAAACAAGAAGCAGAATACAGTATAGGGGACATTGCCTCCCCTTCACTTTTAGCTCTTGGAAGACTTGGTGCTCCACTTCCCTTAGAGCTTCTGGTCAGTTGTAGGGACCCAGTATTGATCAATAAACTAACTTATGAGATGTCAGAGCTGTCCCAGCTTTTGTGCATTAAGTTATAGGTCTCAGGCCAAACTGTTCTATTCCCATGACACTCTCTCAAGTTGAATCGAACTGTTCTCAATCTTGGCGTACTGTCTGACACTTTGTGCTCTAAACCAAAAAACATAGCTAGGTGTTCATTGAAAAGCCTGTCAATTAAGAGAGTGTTGCAAGATTTGAAAATTTGAGGATGCAATTTTTAATGAAAAAACATACTTTGAGTCCTGGATTGGCGATGAGACGTGTGTTGTCACTCAGGTAAGCAGTGTAGTGTTCCACCATGCGTTTGGTCTCTGCTTGACTCAGGTGTTCAAATGGAGATGAGAAACTGCCTGCAGACAGCATGACTGTGGGACTTTCTGAAGACAGGCAATCAGAGCACTGTATTAAATATTAATACCACATACATAAGATCGATGTTCATCATGCCTAAGAGACATCATCGCGATTTCAAGTTAATGAGGACGTAACCTTTCCAATACCGAATGATACGCGACACTGGGGCCCTCATGATAAAGTAAAGTTAAAACATGAAATGGCTTCCTCGAAGAAATAAATTACAACTGCATGTGGGAAAGAAAGCAACATACACCAGGAATGCTAATCAAAATATCTAACATTAACAACAGACTCGGTGAATGTGAAACACTTCATAATCTATTCTGTTCCCTAATATTTTTCTCTTGCAGTAGGTGCTGCCTAGTGTTAAGGTACAGTGCCGTGGGAGGTCCTTCCATATCTCATACTGTTTCTCATGTGAGCCTGGCAATTCCTGCCAGTACAATACTGGACTAGGGTTTTGTTTCCATTAGCCTAACAAAAAGACATACATCTATTATACAGCAATTCTTGCAACTGCTTGTTCCGTAAAGCATCAACGTAGAGCATGACAATTGTGAGATAGGGTGGTACCTTATGCTGCTGTGCAATGACCTACCGTGACATGACAGGGAGCACAATGGGAAAGCAAGTATAAGTTAAAGCTCTATACCTCTCTACGTGAATAGGAAACAGTTAGAGAAATGGATTTGAAGTTAACATTGAGCCCTTTCCAAGTACCACCAGTATTAATTACAGAATAAAATTGGTGTAAGGTTGGGTAAGTAACCAGCTGTCTTCTTGTTTAAGTGACTCATGGTTGAGTGGACTTCAGGGAGAAGCAACAAGGAATATCAGAAGTCACAAACCCTCATAGCATTTTTTGAAAATTAATGCACCTACCCAGTGTTGCCAATTGCTTAAAATGCAGGCAAGAGGCAGGCTGGCCCAGTAGATCCAATCTATGATAAAGAAGCTTACTGCTTGGTGCTGTGTTCAAATTTTTGAGATGTTTAACTGGTACCTCGGGCTGTACCATCACTATACACAGAATAAAGGATGTGTCCTGGACCTGCACAAACAGAAGTAACAAATTTGTTTCTATTAATTTTTAATTATAACCTCAAAGTTATAACTGTGGTATAGTTTTCAGTAACTATCATACAGCAAAATGGAGGGAGATATTTCACCGAATCGTGAAGAATAATTTGTGCATTAAAATAAGCTACAGAATACACGACAAGTATTGGTTAAAGTAATGCTTTGAAACCACCCAATTACCAGAAAATTAGAATAATTGGCAAGGGCATTCCAGCCATGCATACGACAAAAAATTAGAAAGACAAGGATGGTTTAATTCTCATTGTGATAAATTCTGAATGTTAGTTGCAGGCAATGTGGAGTTACCACGGGGAGAAAGCGGTATCAAAAATAAAAATCAGAGGAAAATTAGCCCCAGGGTCATTCTTGCAGACCTGTGGCTGGATCTCAGCAGCATTGGCTGAAATCCAGAAGCAGTTTAAGTGCCTGCATTTCCATTGCTTGAGTTTCAGGAATGCACTAACTGCAATCAAAAGTCAAGGGTTTTGACTGTAAATAAAAATAAATGCAAAATCTTTTGAAATTATTACAGGTCTTAGCTTGATAATGACACTGAGCACCAAAAAATGGGCCCACCTACAGTGGCACTGCGTTTATGTTAGAGACGGATCTCTCAATATTGCCTGGGGCTCACAGTTCTCTGGGATTAAATGCACTTATATTATTTAGCATTTTCTACTACTTTACAAATAACAATTATGCACAAGTCAATCTATTTCTCACTGAAGGATCTTCCCAAACAGTAGGAGCAAGTTTCTACAGGTCAGCGAGAGAAAAGCACCCATCAATGGCTTGTACATGCAGGAGAGCCTTTGGACCGAAAGCTAACAGTCAATTCATGGAGGCCATATTTATATTTGCTCCAGGATCTTTTTAAGCACACTGGCACAGCTATTTCTTCAGGGGGGTTTGGGTGCATTGGAGATTAATAGCACTTACTTACCTTACAATTCCCTCATTGATAAATCAAGGTCCTAGACATTGCACCGTACTAAGGTAAGTGCAGGAAAAATGACAGAAACGGCTAATTCTTAATTCTTCATTAAACTTGTTTGATATAAAGAATAAATTCTAGTTCCCAGGTTCAAAAATTCATAATTAACGTAATAACCTAAGAACAGCACAATAAATGTTATCGGCCCATTCATGAGTTAAATATTAGCATTCACAATTTATAAAAGCATTTAGTTAGAAGATATGCAATCGCCACGTTCAAAAATGTAGTACTAAGCTATTGAAGAGATGAATAAATTGTGTATTTTGATTAAACAAAGGTCCTCTGGTTTTAAAATGCAAGCCCACACATCCTCCTAGATCAAGGAAAACACAGATTCAAGGGTATGAATAACAAAGCATAACGTACCAATTTCCAGGCATAGCTGACATTGTAGGCCTCTTTGCTGGTTTCTCGTAACCGGTTTATGTGCCAAGACAAGGAGGAGTTTACAGGCACGGTAATAACCTGACTGCCCAAAGGGAGGCTGTATAGGAGATATGGAATATAAATAATTTACATGTCTACAATCCACATTTCTATAATCTCAAATCTACAATTTCAGGATTCGTGGCAAAATTCATAATAAAGTGGTATTACAACTATAATGAACAAATATGTGTGGATGATTGGAATAGGGCCTACGAATTAAAGAAAATTTAATAGGGCTTTTTAAAATTGATGATACTTGACCAAAATCAACATAATTACTTTAAAAGTAAGAATTCCTTGAATAGAAATCCATCATCCTAATGGAATAAAAGGAACGCCCTACAGTCGCTCCCTTTACCATGGAGATCACATTATAATGTAACCACATAACCGTTGATTATTGTAAAAATCTATCTTGCTCATTAATGTCCAAATATACCCCAAAGCAAGCATTCATATCCAGTCAGCAGAAGTCTATTGATTTATTTCTAAACCAGAATTGAATGATCTCTTTCTGTTGAATTCACAAAGAATCACTTTGGGGTGCAGATGGCTCCTCTCTTTGTCGGTAATCGCAAATTGCTCAACTTCTGGCCATCTCAGTAAAAATCAGGTGAGCAGTTCCTGGTCTGGATAGCTGACGTTGAATACTATACTTAACCAAAGAAGCCATTAGAAGAGCTAACTACACTAACTAACAATTGACTTTACTCTCTCTACTTTTTTTATACATTACCTGAGAATGTTCTGCCTGACGAGTTGAAATCTTGGAATATTTTCATAGTGTATGATATCAGTATGAAGTGGCGGTTCTGTTAGCAGGTATGGCCTTGTCAAGGACGGATGCATAAGAGTGTAGCCTGCAAGGAAAAATAACATAAAAATTTAACGCTGGTCTCCCAGACTGTGAATATGATGTTTACAAGAAATAGTATTTACTGCTATACCAGTATTTACAGTCAGAAGATGCTAATTATCTAGCAAACTGATAGCCAGTGAAATGAAGATAGTCATTTCAAAGATAAGAAAATGACCCTAGCTATTTACCACTTTAAAAAATGACTTCATGCCCCGCTCATGTCACAGAGAAGTCTATAATTTGCTGTGAAATTAAGTCTATTTTACTTTATGACTGTTGAAACACAAATTGGTTTCTAAGTAGGCAGATAATGTTGACAGTGACTCTAACATAATTAAAGGGATAATTACATCTCTCACCTTTATTATCAATTAAGAATGTGTAGGAGGCAGAAGACTCACGATAATAAGTTACATCCTCCAGAATGTAAGCCAAGTTCACATCCACTCCCACAATTCCCAGTAGCATGTTTCCAAAATAGCAGGGCTTACTGACAGTCATGATCAATCCTGTTAATCAGAAAAATACATATGTTGTCATGCTGGGTGATTATAAAATGATTGTTTTTGAGGGGTGATGAGTGAGAAGTTGGTCTTGGTGTGGTGGAGAGGAGGGTTTCTCCAGAAAGATAAATGATATGCTCCAACTTGCTTGCAGTATCTTGCTCAAATGGCCCTCTCCAGTAAACCTACATTGAGCGTCAGGAGTCAATTTATTCATGGAGGACATCACAGCTTGGCTCAATAACACACCATCAAAATTGATGTTTAAATGCAGTATTGAGAGATGAAAAAATAATTTTCTTCTGTCCCTCAGGTTGGTCTCATGGCCCTATTTGAAAAAGAGCAGAGATGTATTGATGTCCTGACCTACATTTATCCTTCAATTAACACCATCTAAACAAATTATCTGAATAAAAACTGAAAGAACTGTGGAAGCTGTAAATCAGGAACAAAAACAGAAGTTGCTGAAAGCTCAGCAGGTCTGGCAGCATCTGTGAAGAAAAAAAATCAAAGTTAACATTTCGGGAGCGGTGACCCTTCCGAAGAACAGTTCTTTTCCTAAACAAATTATCTTGTGGTCTTTTATTCCATTATTGTACTTGTTTTGCGCTAACTGACTGGCCTGGTTTTCTCATTAACAACAAAAGCATGCTTCATGCTGGACACTTGAAAGACTTTTTTGTACAAATGCAACTTTTCTTTCTTTTCCCTATCTAGCAGGACTAAGTGAATTGCAATCTCGGTTGGAAACTATGAATACCTTTCTTACTTCATAAACAATTATGGCACTCTCCCCAGTTTGGATCAGCTAACTCAGGATAAGGGTGAGATTCAAACCAGAAGCTTTTCTTCTGCATGGCTAAGTACAATAATGACTGAGTGGAATTCGGACCACAACAGGTCAGAGAGTATTTAAACAGAAATCGGGTCCAGGCAGTACACATTAAGTTGCACACACGATGTTATTGGCATTGACATTGACAATGACAAGGGACCTTTCTGTTCTGAGCAAAGTTTCTGTCCATCCTGAGATTGCCTTAGCAGGCTACAAGAAGAAATGTTAAGGAGAGAAAACAGTGAGTAAACATCTTAACGAAAAGAAAAATCAACACTCACCATCACCCATTTCATCAGTGTATGGGAGACTAAACACAGCCTCATCTATCATTCGATTTGGAAGGTTTGTGTAAAAGCGTCCTACTGTGGTCTCCAGGTTACTCAACTGGTTCAATACCATCATTGTCCCTTTTATAACAGGAAGTGATGTGCGATCAGGAACTCCATATTTTGCTGAGTTCTGTTCTGCCAGATCTCGAAGAAAGGCGAGCTCCTTCAAACCAGTTACACCCTCTAAAACAAAAAGATTAATGAGGAAGCAATACACCAGTGAAATGGTAAGTAAGGGTTTGCACTATTCAGTAGATACTTATTCTAAAACAAAATGGGAAGAAAACAATTGCATGACTGAACTCTCTCTCCTCCCATGATATTATTTCCCACTCTTGCAAATGCTAGTAACTGGGACTCATCATGTCTGTCTGTCAATCTCTCCAGCCTAGGAAACACCAATCCTCCACAACTTAAGACCTCATAGTGCACGGCTGCAAAGGAGAATTCAATTTAGAGGTTATCACCTTGCAGTTTATAAAATAAATATATTTTGTCCATCAAATTTATTAAATACAAAGATTTGAAAGTTCACTTCTTCTGTTAAATATGTTTAGTAAACTGCCACCCACTTTTCCCAGACTTGATTCAGTTCTTTTAACCTTCTGACTTGTTACTGAAGCAGTAATGATAGTGTACACAGCAATGTCTGACAGCCTGAAGCACTCAGTCTCCATACCAATGAGTTGGGTTTATCACAAGTAATAGTTTTTGGGGGGTTGTACTGAAGCCCCACGGTGAAACTGGACAGTCTGTTTTTCCATTCTTTCATGCGATGTGGTGAGGTCAGTTTTTATTGCCCATTCCCAATTGCTCCTGAACCGAGTGGTTTGCTGGACCTATTTTCAGAGGGCACTTAAGAGCCAATCAGCAGTGCAGGGTCACAAGTCACAGACCAGAGGGGAAAGAAAAAGAGAAGAAATCTATGAGAAGGCTGGCATGAAACAAAAACTGACAGCATGTCCCCAGCACAGCTGAGCATTTTGGATGACTGCAACATTGAAGTGCATACTCTGAACAGAATAGATTAAGGCAAACGCTATTAGACTCATCAAAAGCTCAATCCTTGCAGTACTTGAGCACTTTGTCATCCAGTTGTATTTTGATTGCCCACTTTGGATTTTGTTTCATCTTCCTGGATGTCAACTTTACCAACTAATATTCATATTTTCAATAGACTCTTTTTTAATAAAAAGAACATGTCCTTTTACTTTCAAAAAAGTAGTATCTTTTTGTAATAAGACATGCACAATTTTTACTTATTGAAGCAATTATGCTTTGCATAGTTATTTCAACAAATTGTCCTTTTTCTGTGTATAAATAAAACCAAGTGTACATTCTGTAACTTGTGCTCCAGTAATGATTATTAAAGGTGTTTTTCCAAATTAAAATAAAAAGGATGGCAGATTTCTTTTACTAAAAGGCCATTAGTGAACCACAAGAGTTTTTAAAACAGTCAATGATAGTTTCATGGCACCAGTACTGAGACTAGCTTTACATTCCAGATTTATCAAATTTGAATTGATGGATCTTAAGCCTGAATAGATCTTAACCCGAAGCACTGTTCTGATCCTCTGGATTAATAGTATAGTGGTAATACCACTGCACCACCACCTCCTCCTGTGCAAACCTGGGAAAAATTTAAGGAGAACCTGGGTCACTCAAACATCAGGGGCCACTCTTGACCTCCACTGTTGAGTCTAAAGTAATGCAAAGCACTACTATTGGCACTGACTTGGTTGCAGGAGTTGCCAGAAAGATGTTATATTTATATATCAGCCTGTGTTTGGGATCCACTCCAACATCTTTAGCCCTTAACTCTCACAAGCGATCCAAAAGACAATTGAACTTTCAGCTTGGACCAGTTCGTGAAGAGCACAGCAAGTCCATACACTGGTGGGTCTACACCATTGTACGTCTGGGTCCAAACCTCCAAGTTCCTCTGCAGCTTTAGCCTGAAGCTGAGAGATCTGGTTTCTGGAGTGTCAGCTGAGGGCTTGCCGAGGGAGAGGCTGTGTATTGACAAGGGCAGACCTACACATTTGGTTCTCATTTTCACACTGCTGCTAGACAACACTAAGCTGAAAATGAGAAGCCAACTAACACACAAAAGCAGAAAGCATGCCAACTGTCTCCACTCACATACTAGGCACATAACTTTGATCAGATAGACATACCAATTCTGTTAAGGTCCTTTGTGAAGTTTAAAATATCATTCTGAAAGGGCCTTGTTCAAATTAATAAAATTATTTTCTAAGGAGCTGAAGAATTTTTTTTTGGCTCCAGGATGGGCTGCTTGTTGCCAAGTTACAGTTAATTCGGAGCCAATCAATCATCTGCCAATAGATCAGCCCAACATCTCTGCAATATCTTTATGTTGACAGGCAGCCTGGCCTAACTACTGGCATTTTGGAACAATCTCAGTCTACTCCATTGGCAAGAGAGAATTTGTCTCTTCAATTTATCTCAGTGAATCTGAAATTCAACTCCAGTTATGTTGAGATAGATAGGGAGAAGAACAGTGAAGAAGGAGAGCAGGGTGAAGTCACCTCAGTCAGTGGATAATGCCCAAGTATAAACATTATTAAATATTTCTAAACATTTCATGTTCCAACAAACTGTTGGAAACACCAGTTTCTCACCATTCATGAGCGCATATGTCAAGATCATCACCGAGTTGTTGAGATGCCCATTTTCCTCACTGATAACACTTAGTGTTGCCTTCTTCTCTTCTTCAGAGGAGTCCTTTGAGGTGATACCAGATGACAGGTAGATTATCACCATGTCAGTGGCTGTGATTTAAAGAAAAAAAACTTCAATTCAATTTACAATCACCTGATTTTGACATACCGCCAATAACTGTTTTAGTTGCTTTCAAGTAATGCTGCCATGATACGGGACCAATGGCTAAGCACTAAGTCGAGCGTTCACCACTGAAATGCACCGAACATAAAGCTGGAAAGGTTTGATTGCCAGTCTAGCTGATTCAGTTGAGGCAGTATAGGGCACTATAATTGATGTAAAATCCATCATGGCATGGTGAGATGGGACCCTTGTGGTGGAGTGGTAGCATTCCTACCTGTGCACTAGAGGGCCCAAGTTCAAATCCCACCTGCTCCAGAGATATGTCATGACATGCCTGAACACACTGGTTAACAATATCTATCACAGCTGCATGTAGACTTAATCTTCTTTGGCTCTGCCCAACAATGCGCCGTAGTCCTAACTTCACAGAAGGCTACCATACCTGTAACATTCTCATTTTTCACACTACTAAACTCTGATCTTTCTCACAAGAGTGAAACTAATGGCAAGTTATAATCAGCTTTGAACTTCAGACTCATTCACTTTAAAATGGTTTGAGAATGAAGGAAACCCATTTTATATTAGACCTTTCCGGCAAGACAATGGTTATCCCATCAGTCACAGCATGATAGAAACCTGTGACTCCAACGTGAAACCAAGAGCTAATCGATAGTGCCCTCCGTACTACCCATTCACGAAAAAGGAGAGGTGTGAACTTGTCTCTCATTCACCCATAGACTTCAAAGACATTTTCTGGGAGACAGACATCATAATTTACAATATCCATGCTGAATTTGTGGAAAGATATATCCTCTTCTATCTCTTCCTGTTTGTGCACTATCTGCAGCCAAGCTACTTAGAATTAAATTATGTTAGCTTCAAAAGTAAAATAAAACACAAGTATGGTGGCTCAGGGGTTAGCACTGCTGCCTCACAGCGCCAGGGACCTGGGTTCAATTCCACCCTCGGGCAACTGTCTGTGTAGAGTTTGCACATTCTCCCCGTGTCTGCATGGGTCTTCTCCAGGTACTCCTGTTTCCTCCCACAGTCCAAAGGTGTGCAGGCTAGGTGGATTGGCCATGCTAAATTGCCCTTAGTGTCCTGGGACGTGTAGGTTAGGTGGCTTAGCCACGGGAAACGTAGGGTTACAGGAAGAGGGTAGGGAGGCAAGTCTGGGCGGGATGCTCTTCGGACAGTCGGTGTGGACTTGCTGGGCCAAATGGCCTGTTTCCACACCGTGGGGATTCTATGAAAAACCTTCTTTAAAAGGGGCCACTGATTACATTCATCTTATTGCATCTGTTCCAACAAAGCCATTAAAATCAGTAGCAAGGAAATGATTAGACATGAATTCTCAGTACAGTTGTACCACTCGAGTTCCACTGGCTCACGAGGTTACATTTTTCCCAACAATACTTTCACATTAAATAGCAACTGGGTGTTGGGAAGGATTTCATGGCTTAAGTTACACAAATTTAATTGACTCATCTTAAGCCAAAGAAATTGGATTCTGACAGTGGTCCGTATAAAAACAAGAAAGGAAAATAAGAATGTGAAATTAACACGTTTAAAGCTGGGATTCACCATCATACAGGGTGAGCCCCCAGATTGTAAGATCCTTGGCTGTATTTGGTAAACAACAAACAAGGGATCTCCTTTAAACTGATAATTAACTAAATTCATGAAATGGATCAAAGCTGGAAGTTAACTCAGTAGTTTCTTTGTGGGTGACCCCCCTACTGAAAATATTAACACACAGAGGGCAGCACGGTGGCTCAGTGGTTAGCACTGCTGCCTCAATGTCAGGGACCTGGGGTTGATTCCAGCCTCAGGTGACTGTCTGTGTGGAGTTTGTACATTTCCCCCAGTGTCTGCGTGGATTTCCTCCAGGTGCTCCTGTTTCCTTCCACAGTCCAAAGATTTGCAGGTTAGGTGGATTGGCCATGCTAAATTTCCCATAGTGTCCAGGGATGTGCAGTCTAAATGGATTACTCATGGGAATTGCAGGGTTACTGAGATGGGGTGGGTCTGGGTGGGATGCTCTTTGGAGGGTCAGTGTGGACTTGACTTGCCTGCTTCCACACCGTGGAGATTCTGTACTATGACAGATTCCCTGTTCTAATTTCTGAGAGGTACTGTTATGTCAGCTATCCATAAGAAAAATCATGCGATAACTGAATGATGTGATGATTGATAAAAACGTGATGATATTCTGGATCCTTCAAAGTCTGAAAACCGATCATTTTAATAAACCTAATTAATGTGCAAACAGATCTCGTTCAGTCAAAGCATGAGCCTCCTTTATCTGATAGGTCAGTACTACACTAGGACTGCACATTTTAGACAGCACAGAATGTGAATTTTAAAAAAAATTTTCTTCACAGACTGAAGACATAAAATCACACACTGAACACAAACTACTTGCTGAAAAAAATATTCAACTGGATACAGGCACTATCTAGAATGGTACAAAGCATACAAGCCTCATCATGCAGGCTTGATTGCATGTCTCTGCTGAGCAATCGAGCTCAGCCAGGGGAGCATTTGGAGCATTACAATGAACTCAGTGTCTTTCGGATGATGGGTGGAAGTTTACAGGCAGAGTTTCTAATTTTGCCTTCTGCTGAATAATCCCTGTGTCAAACAGCTTGCCAATAATCAAGCTCATATATGTGCATAGTATTAACCACCCCCAGATCTATTCCATAGCTGTGTCACCTAGATAACAAAAAAGATAAAAATGATGGAAGGGGAACAGTTTAAACATTAACAATAATTCACAATGACTAGTCTCAGCATCACTGTTTCCCAAACGTTTCCCACTGCGACTTCATTTCAAAGCTTTTAAACAAAAGAATGGGCGTGGGGGGGGCAACTATTTCATTTTGAAGCTTCTCCCAACAATGAACACAAAATTCCTCTCTCTTCTCCTGATATCAAAGCTCTCTCTCCACCCATCTCTCACTTGCCAACTCTTCCGGTTGTTCTTCACCTTCCCACTCTTCACTTCATTCTTCCCCGGCCCTCTCACTTGCTGAGTGTCCCATGCACTCACTGTTTCCCACTCCTTAAATCCTCACTGTGAATGAGGGCTAAGGAACAGAGCGTCGAGATGAAAGGAAGACAGCAAGCAGGGGAAGGTCTGGCTAGCTGGAGGGGCAGTATGGTATTTACGAGAATGGTTTCAGGGATGAGAAACTTTCGTCATGAGGATAGATTGAAAAAGTTGGGACTGTTCTCCTTGGACAGAAGAAGGCCGAGATGAGATTTGATGGAGGTTTCCAAAAATCCATGAGCAGCTGAACACAGCAGATAAAGAGAAGCTGCTCCCCCTTGTAAAACAAGCTTTAAATTGATGTGCATAAAAAGCAAGGATAATGCCAGAAAAACCTTTTCACAGTGCAAGCAGTTAGGGTATGGAATGCGTTGCCTGTAAATATGGTGGAGGCAGATTCAATGAAGGCATTCAAAAGAGAACTGGATGATTATTTGGATAGAAATGGAGTAAGACAGGAGATTGGCACTAGGTAATAGTGCAGGCACAATGGGCCGTAACAATTCTGTGATTCTGTGAGAAGGCATGCAGGGCATAGGAAAGGCAAGTGTCTGACAGCAGGATAGTGAATGTTTGCAGATTAAACTCAAGGCAGCAGAATGATTACCAAACAAACTCTTTGCACAAAGCATGCCGAAGAGTTGTAGATCTGTCAAAGCAGCCCCCTGAAAGCATTCCTGAACTCAGGCTCATCTCAATGAAGATCACTGCTTTCCTGGAGAAGGGGGAATAGATGGCCCCACTGGAAATTATGACCCACAGTTTGGAAACCCCAGCCTAACATTTCACAGTAAATTTGGAGTCTGTCAATGACACAACTAAAACCCACAATTTTTTAGATATGATCGCATTTTCTTCTTGCACTCACATGTATGGACCCTGGTGTTGTTGTTTGTGTTCTGAAGTAACTGAAAAGCTTTGTGAAAGCCCAATGCATGCTGGGTGGCACCATCCACTGCTTTAATGTTGCTAAGGAACGTGGCCATTTTTCTTTTTGTCTCACTGGTGGCTGGAGACAAGTATGTCTTGTAACACTGGTCTAGCGAGCATGTTCGGACCGTGTCTGCCACAGCCAGCACAGAAATCTAGGCACAAAAAAGCATAGTCATTTGGCAGTTTGGTAGTACAGAACAAGAATTTTTCTGAAAAAAAAGAGACACATTCTGTCAAGCTTTTTGTCTTTAGGCAAGGTTTAACGCTTCAATAAAATGTGCCGTTTTCAGCAAAGCAAAAGATATTATTCCCCAAAATTTCTCTGCAAAAATCTTAATTTTCTTTGCTTGAACAGCTTACATTTTTCTGCTTTATTTGAAGTGCAATTATTGCAAAACTATGCCATGAAGAATTTCGCTTCCTCCATTTGATTTTTCTTTTGCTCTTCCTTAGTTTTTTCATATTTTGTCTATCGCTCCTAACAATGACTGTGCAAGCAGCCTGTCATCTGTTTGACAAAGTTAAAGTGGTCATTCTTGGATGGATACAAACCAACACCATGCCCTCAATAGTACAGTGCACTTCCTGTAATTGGCCACACTGTGCAAGTTTGCATGTATGCGGTGAGGTTGCAGTCTCATTTCTTTGCATTAATTAGATCAGAGGAGTATAAAGTTAAACAACATGTGCCAGATGGAGCAAGGACACGCTCCCTCAGCGAAGATGCCAAATAAGATCAACCCTCCTCTCATGGACACACTTCCTCCATTTAATTTCCTGACAGGAAGTCTTGCATTGGTGCTGCATGATCTTTGCACAGTAATCAAGAAGAACAAAATTTGTACGGCTCAATTAAATAACCCACTTATACATACATTAACAGTCCTTGGTCCTTTAAAGACCTGGATCACATTACCTGCATGATCTGTATATATATTCAGCATTATAAACATGGGCAGAGATTGGAAAGAACTCACCTTGTCATGTTCGTCAATTGAAGTTAATATTACTTGCGCAGCATCTTTGGCTATTTGAAGTTGTGTGTCTGTAGCTGAAGCTCCATGGTCTACCACCACCACAATATGTTTTGATTGTGGTCTCACAGTAGAGACGTAAACAGGCCTATACCAAAATAATTCCAAAAATATTTGTAAACAAAGATCGGTAGGTAATGAAGAGACAATTCAGCGATTTGTTTTTGCATTTTCTCAATAATTAATTCACATTGTCTCAATTTTCTCCCCAGTGTTTTGATGACTGGCTCATGATAGGGTACATGAGCAGTGACAGCTCAACTACTCCTTTTACAACTTGCTAATTGTCATGAGTGGTCTTACTCAAGCAGGCTACTCAAACCCAATCCTAACCACTTGTGCTCTGTAAAGGTCACAGCTTCATACTTGGAGGAAAAAAAAGTTATTGTCTCATACTAAAAATCAGACATGGATTAACTTAATCTGAGAACTATTGAACTAGATCGGAAATCCTGCAAATTTGGAAAGTGAAATGAATTGCTTGTGTTTAGATCAGACACAAATTTAATTGGAATCTTCTCAGATTTGCTTTTGAGAAAATTACACCAGTTGACTTGGAAGTGAAAATCAGATTTCCACGCTTTATGTACCAACAAATGAAGTTGAACAGAATGTTATAAATGGCATAACTTCACTCAGTTTATCTTCTGCATTTTTGCGAAGATCTCACTACACTAGATAATAAATTATTTATCATACCACATTTTTATCTTCCAATGTAGATGGTTTACTCCAAGACACAAGGCAAAACTTTATTACATTTTCTAATATATTCCTTAATGTATCAGTTTAACATCAATAAACATACTGCTTGTAACTACAAACTGACTCAAAAATATTGTCACATTTATTTATTCGTCAAAACTAATTGTCACATAAGAAAATACAAAGCAATGTGTTGAAATCAGTCAAAAAGAAAACCCGAGTTCCTCGAGAATGGAGTTGAAATTTCCTACCTACTTCGATGTTCATAACCACCTTTGCAGCGAAACCTGTGTGCTGGGAAGATGGTGAAAATCCCTTCTTCTGAGCTAAAGTATTGCCACTTTATACCAGGGTTTGACTTGAAGTTGTCAGCGAGAACTGTTGGGTTAAAAATGTCAAATTGTTTCAAACCAAAACAGGTGAAAAATCTCCAGTCCACTTTTTGCCATTATAATTTCCCAAATTCATATTTTAATGAGTTTGGATTATGTAAGATCATCACACATTAATTTTAATCTGGCTGTTTGTTGACTTTCTAACCAGTCTGCGGCCATGTTTAAGACCTCTTAAAGAAATCAGAAGGCCTGACCCCAGTATTGTGTCGTTTGTTTCGTAGGTTTTTCATAATTGAATTTACAGTCCAAGTTCTTATTATGTAGAATTTAAATTGTTACTGTTAGTAGCCTTTCATTCCCAGAAATTTCTTATTGAAATTTAAATGCAATAGTTTTTTTTCCTTCTGCAGCCATTTGCCTTGGGTGTGAATTGGTGATTTTTTCTTCCTTTCAGCAACATCCTCAGTACTTCAGCCAGGTAGGAAAACGATTACTGTAAACTTCAAACTTACCATTTCTGGCACGGTCTGTAGTTTAGAACCAGGCCCATGATATCACTAACTTCCTTTTCAGTCTAACATAATTTACTGGGCCTGTTTGGATTTGGTTTGCTCTGGAATAGAGCAGCAACAGAAATAATGGGAGGAAACATACTGCTTCTGTGCTGTGATCCTCTGTGATTCTATGGTATTAACTGAGTTACAACTATGTGAATACGTGTTTCATAGTAGGCAAATAATTCTGTTCCATGAAACAGTTTTATTTTACAGTCAGTGCCATATTCTAACAACGTAAAACATCAATGGTGATCAGGTGAAGTGAAACTGTTTCTACTGTGCTACAGGAGATCATCATTTGCCTATTTCTCTTCTCTAAAATTTGGTGGAAGCTGAATATTTGACCCTGAATGTCCACACCAAGTGGTATTTTAACGAAGCACCGTATGTGCGCACATGCATAGGTCAGCTACGACCTGCGGGACAAATTAAGCAGTTTACACTTAAATGGGCAGACGCAGATTAACATGGCTAGATGCAAAGAGAATCATTAGGGGGTGGGAGTGAACAAGGATAGGAATATACACTCAGTGTAGTAATGTTGAAGGTTGTGTGTGACAGTGAAACTGAGGGCAAGAAATCAGAGTTAACATTTTGGGTCGAGTGACCCTTCCTCAGAATTCATGGAGAAAGGTTTCTGAGGAAGGGTCATTTGACCTGAAAAATTACTCTGATTTCTCTAAGATGCTGCCAGACCTGTTGAGTTTTTCCAGTAATTCCTCGTTGTTTCTGATTTACAGCATCCGCAGTTCCTTCGGTTTTTATTTAGAGAGAATTAGGGGTTCAAACACAATTAAGGTAAGTGGTAGCATAGTAGTAATGTCATTGGACTAGTAATCCAGGGTCCCAGACTAATTTCTTAGGGCTATTGGTTCATGACAGATGGCGAAGTTTGAATTCAATAAAATCTGGTATTAAAAGCTGGTTTTACAATGACTATCGTCATTTCATTGTTGTAAAAATGCATCTGGTTCACTGATGTCTCTCAGGAAAGGAAATAAACCATCCTTCTTAGCTGGTCTGGTCTGGTCTACTTGTGATTCTAGACCCACAGCACTGTGGCTGAATATTAAGTGCCCCCTGAAAGGGCCGAGCAAGTCACTCAGTTCAACAGCAATTATGGACAGGCTATAAATACGGGCCCAGTCAGCAATGGCCACATTCCCATGAATGAATCAAAAAGCAGGTAGATATAGTTAGTTAAAATGACAAGCAGCATGCTGAATTTGATAAATAGAGACATAGGCTGGATGCTGAAACAATCAGTGGCTTTCAAAGGCAATTGGATGAACACTTGGGGAGGAGAAATTGCCGTGCTGCGGAGACCATGTGGTAGATTAGGACTGAAAGGATTGCTCTGTAGGGAGCTTGCATGATCTCTATGGGTCAAGTAGCCTTCTTCACTGTGCCAAATATGACTCAAGGCCACAATTAGAAAATTACATACAGTTTTGTACAACCCCATTAGAGAAAAGACATGCAAACCATACCAAGCACACAATTCAAAATTCATCAGGACAATACTAGGAGTGAGAAACAACAAAACACAAGACTTTAAGGTACAGCAGAGAAGACCAAAAGAAAGTTTTACAGACACTTGAAGGAGGAAACGTTTTAGTGCTAGTTTTCCTACCCTGGACCAGGAGACCCAGATTCAAGCCCCACCTCCTCCAGAGGTATGTAATAACATCTCTGAATACGTTGATTAGAAAAATAGGTTTAAAAAAAAGGAAAGGTTTTGATGGAGTGAACAGGTAAATGGTTATGCGTTTCAGAGACAGTAGGAACTTCAGTTGCTGGAGAATCTGAGATAACAAGGTGCAGAGCTGGATGAACACAGCAGGCCAAGCAGCATCAGAGGAGCAGGAAAGCTGACGTTTCGGGCCTAGACCCTTCTTCAGAAAGAAGTTATTCGTTGGTTATTCATTGTTCAGGTCATCTATGACAAAGGTTCTCAACTTAAAATGATCAAGAAGCCAGTGCAGAGAATGATTAGGATATATTACTTCATTTGCAGTTGTTGGGTATATAGACTGTTATGCCATAGGGAGGACTCTGGGAGAAACCACGGCATATTTTAATTAGAAATCAAATTCATATTTAAGCAGAGGAAGTTAGATGGCTTTGGGAGAGTGGGAGATAATGTCAGTTTTACACAGGTCTAGCAAAGATCTACAGTAGACACAACAGACTGAATTGCCTCCTTCTGTGTTGCAAAACTCCAATCTTCTATAAGTCACTGTGAAGCTGATCTTAACATCTGGACAGTTGGCAACAAGGCCATCACTACTGGTCATTCATTTGCTTTAGACTGATACCAAGCCACTCATGTTGTAAGAAGGAAAATTCAGGAGACGGGGACCACAGCAATGGGAGATTGGGTGATAAGAACAGGAGCTACCCAGACTAATTTTGTGGCACCCAAAGGAGCACTCAAACATTTCTTGACTTCATAAAATTAACTTAAACTTGACTTTCTGGAGCATCTGACTACATTGTAAAACTGAGCGGGCAGTACATGACACTGATTAAAATTGTCACTCATCCAGCATACATTGAACAATATTTAACGTGAATTTACACCAGATTTAGAACACAGAGCCGGATGGCTGGAGGTTGGCTATCGCGGTGCCATTATTTAAGAAGGGCTGTAAAGAAAAGTCAGTGAACTGGTTTTTCTTACAGCCTGAACCAGTGAGCCTGATGTCAGTGGTGGGTAAGTTGTTGGAGGGGATCCTGAGGGACAGGATTTATATGTATTAGGGAAGGCAAGAACTGATTAAGGATAGTCAACATGACTTTGTGCAAAGGAAATCATGTCTGACTAACTTGATAAAGTTTTTTGAAGAGGTGACAAAGAAGAATGACTAAGGCAGAGCAGTAGACTTTGTCTATATGGACTTAAGCAAAGCGTTCAACAAGGTTCTGCATGGTACACCAGTTAGTAACGCTAGTTCACACTGGATCCAGGAGAGGTAGCCAATTGGACTATGAAATTTGCTTGAAGTTAGAAGATGGAGGGTAATGGTGAAGGGATGTTTTTTGGACTGGAGGCCTAAGGATCAGTGCTGGGTCCACTGCTTTTCGCCATTTATATAAATGATTTGGATGTGAATATGGGAGGTATGGTTACTAAGTTTGCAGATGACACCAAAATTGGTGGTGTAGTGGACAATGAAGAAGGTTACCTCTGAGCACAATGGAACCTTCATCAGATGGGCCAATGGGCAAAGGAATGGCAAATGGAGTTTAATTTAGACACAAGGTGTTGCATTTGCTAAGGCAAACCAGGGCATGATTTATATAAATAATGGTAGAGCCCTGGGGAGTATTGCCAAAGAAAGAGACCCAGCGGTGCAGGTGCATAGTTCCTTGAAAGTGGAGTCGCAGGTAGACAGGGTGGTGAAGGAGGCATTTGGCACACTTGCCTTCATTGGTCAGAACACTGAGTTGGGATGTCATGTCATGGCTGTACAGGTGATGAGGCCACTTTTAGAATACAGTGTACAATTCTGATTGCCCTTCTACTAGAAGGACGTTGTTAAGCTTGGAGGGTACAGAAAAGATTTACAAGGATGTTGCCGAGACTGTAGGGTTTGAGTTTTAGACAGAGGCTGAATAGGCTGGGGCTATTTTCCCTGGATCATCGGGTCGGAGGGCGTCCTTATAGAGGTTTATAAAATTATGAGGGGCATAAACAGGGTGAATGGTCAAGGTCTTTTCTCCAGGGTAGGGGAGTCCAAAACTAGAGGGCAGGGGTTTAAGGTGAGAGGGGAAAAGATTTAAAAAGGACCTGATGTATAACCTTTCATGCAGAGGGTGGTGCACGTATGGAACAAACTGCCAGAGGAAGTGGTGGAGGCTGGTACAATTACATTTAAAAGGCACCTGATGGGTACATGAGTAGGAAGGATTTAGAGGGATATGGGCCAAATGCTGAGAAATAGAACTATGTCAGATTGGGATGTATGGTTGGCACAGACGAGTTGGGCTGAAGGGTCTGTGTCTGTGCTGTATGATCTCTAGGTCATTGAGCCCAAATGGTCAAGGAATTTGCTTATTCCCGACACAAGCCTCCTCCCTCTCTAATTAGCACTTCCCATTCTGTACATATACATCAAACCTCTCATTAAATATGTAATTACTGTTCACTTCAACCCATTCCACGGCAGTAAGATTTACATTCTCACCAATGTGTGCGAGGAGAAATTCTCCCCAAACTCTTTATTTAATCTGTTAATGGTTAATCTTCTAATGCAGAAGAGAAATTAAATGAATCTACAAGACAGAAAAGAATTCTCCGAAGGCATAAATTCATGAACACTTAATTGCAGTTTTGAAATAGCTGTCTTTTTAGCGTTGCTACTGAAGTAGCCAGCAATTTCACCCTGGGAGGCAAAAGGCAGATCAAATTCATGGGAGAGGGACAGTCTCACTGATTATTGTAAATTCCAGAAGATTCTGTGCATGAACGTATCATGTATTTCGGTTCACAGGAAGTAACCGTCAGAACCAGACCCATAGAATCTGAATAAACAAACAACAAAATAAAGGTAATAGTAATTTAGAAAAGAAGCAGCCCTTCCCCAAAATGTTCTCTCTAATTTTTACTGTCATGAAAATCCTACTGCATTCTCATGTGTGGTTACATGGATGCTAGCAACACCGTCATTTCATCTGGCCACTTTTGATGTTTGGTCCTTAACAAGATGTGACAGGTTATTTGTCAATAATGGGCATCAAAGCTAAGAATAAAGCTGTGGATGCGACAGGTTTGGACATAAATCTTCCAGAAGAGTCAATGGATGATAACAATTAGAACTGCAGAGCTTGCCTGACTTTTAGCTTAAGCAGAGACATTGTCACAGCCAATACTGCAGTCAACATCAGCTAACTCAAGACAGGACGCTCCTGATTTGTATCGATCAGCATTAGACCAGGCATCAGAGAATTCTTGAAACTAAAATATCAAAAACTGATATAACTCTGTTCGAAAAGATGGGTTTCCCATCAAGATTTCCAAATGAAGTAGTTTACCTTCATTTGAATAAGGTTTAGGAAACAAGGAACAGAAAAGGCTCTAGACGGATACAAGTTATCCAGGAAGGAGCTGAAGAAAGGGCTTAGGAGAGCTATATGGGGGCATGAGAAAACCTTGGCAGATAGGATCAAGGAAAACTCCAAGGCTTTTTACACCTATGTGAGGAATAAGAGAATGACCAGAGAAAGGGTAGGGCCGATCAAGGATCATAAAGAGAATTTGTGCACGGAGCCTAAAGAGATAGGAGGTCCTTAATGAATACTTTTCTTCGGTATTCATAACTGAGAGGAACCTAGTTGTAGGGGAGGACAGTGTGAAACAGGCTGGTAGGCTAGAGGATGTTAGTAAGGAAGATGTACTAGGAATTTTGAGGAACTTGAAGATAGTTAAGTCCGCTGGGCCTGATGGGATTTATCCAAGGATTCTATGGGAAGCGAGGGAAGAGATCGCAGGGCCTTTGGCGGTGATCTTTTCGTCCTCACTGTCCACGGGTATAGCGCTGGAAGATTGGAGAGAGGCAAACGTTATTCCCTCGTTCATAAAAGGGAATAGGAATAACCCCGGAAATTACAGGCCAGTTGGTCTTACATCAGTGGTGGGCAAATTATTGGAAAGGGATCTGAGAGATAGGATTTATGATCACTTGGAAAGACACCGTTTGATTCGTGATAGTCAGCATGGATTTGTGAGGGGCAGATCATGCCTCACAAACTGTATTGAGTTCTTTAAAGAGGTGGCCAAACACGTGGATGAAGGTAGAGCAGCGGATGTGGTACACATGGATTTAAGTAAGGCGTTTGATGAGGTTCTCCATGGTAGGACCATGCAGAAGGTAAGGAGGCATGGGATAGGGGGAAACGTGGCAGATTGGATTCAGAATTGGCTGACCCTTAGAAGACAAAGGGTGGTAGTGGACGGAAAACATTCAACATGGTGCTCAGTTACGAGTGGTGTACCACAGGGATCTGTTCTGGGTCCTCTTCTATTTGTGATTTTTGTAAATGATTTGGATGTAGGAGTGGAAGGTGCATTAGTAAGTTTGTGGACAATGCGAAGGTGGATCAAGTTGTGGATAGTGCGGAGGGCTGTTCTAGGTTACAAAGAGACATTGATAGGATGCAGAGCTGGGCTGAGAAGTGGAAGATGGAGTTTAACCCTGAAAAGTGTGAGGGGATTCATTTTGGAAAGACAAACTTGAAAGCAGAATACAGGGTTAACGGAAAGATTCTTGGCAGTGTGGAGGAGCAGAGGGATCGCGGGGTTCATGTCCACAGTTCCCTGAAAGCTGCCACCCAGGTGGATAGAGTTGTTAAGAAGGCGTACGGTATGTTAGCTTTCATTAATAGAGGGATTGAGTTCAAGAGCCGTGAAGTTATGCTCCAGCTATACAAAAGCCTGGTTCGGCCACATCTGGAGTATTGTGACCAGTTCTGGTCACCTCAATACAGGAAAGATGTGGAAGTATTGGAAAGAGGTACAGAGGAGATTTACCAGGATGTTGCCTGGAATGGAGGGAAGGTCTTACGAGGAAAGATTGAGAGTGCTAGGGCTTTTCTCTTTAGAACGACGAAGGATGAGAAGTGACTTGATAGAGATTTACAAAATGATCAGAGGTACAGATAGAGTAGACAGCCAGAGACTTCTTCCTCGGATGGAGGTAGCTATCACGAGGGGGTATAGTTTTAAAGTGATTGGAGGTAGATATGGGGGAGACGTCAGAGGTAGGTTCTTTTCTCAGAGTGGTCGGGGCGTGGAATGCATTGCCGGAGAGGGTAGTGGAGTCGGCCTCATTAGGGGCATTTAAGCGGCTACTAGATAGGCATATGGATGATAGTATAAGGTAGGGTTGGAGGTTAGATAGACGTTAGGATTAGGGTAAAAGTTCAGCGTAACATTGTGGGCCGAAGGGCTGTGCTGTACTGTTCTATGTTCTATGTTTAATACATTTTGTTTAGAAACATGTTTTACAGTTTATGAAGTCTGTATGTCGGTAATTATTCTTTAACTAACACCCATTAACAGAGGTTCTGGTAACTTATATTACAGCTGTTTGTGGGAACTTGTTCTGCTGAAATTATTTGTTACATTTCTTATGAGCCAGCATTTTGCTCCTTTCCTGCAATCTACCTTTTTAAGTTGCTAAGCAGGTGGGTATGGTGGACATCATAGCGACCAGATTGCTATTTTAACCTGTAATCTGAATGAAGAAATCATCATGGCTTTCTCACCAGGTAGAAACAACAGGAAAGATAGTCAGGGCCAGAAGTGTTTTACTTTCACGATGTGAACGAGGAGGAATAGGAGTTTGCCTATAGTTGTCCATAGAAATAATAGGAGCACCCATGCCCAGACTCCCGCTCCAGCCTTTACTCCAGTGGTGGGGGACTTTACTATTGGGTCCAATGTGCCTGTTTTTAGGGATACAGATGAAATAAACTGCTTATATGTGTAGAAGGAACAAGGACAGTAGTTAACAGAGGGGAAAATCGAACTTGAACTAGAAATAAGTGGAGCTTAGCAGATGACGAAGCGATAAAAGGAAAGAAAACACAAAGTAAATTTAAGTACATCAAAATAAAGACAGAAAGCGGCACCAGTGACAAACACAAAAAAGATGTTCAATAATTTTGTTGAGCGTAACATGAATGGATCTAGATTGCTAATGGAAAATTGACAAGAAATCTCTGGACAATGGTCATTTGGTAATGAGCAATTACAAAATTGAAAGTGAACATACCTAACGTTTAAAAAGAAAGGAAATATCTGAACCAGCAACTAAAGATTGATGCACCCAATACTGGATAAAATAAACAACAGTAAGAATTAGGTTGGAGGATTAGGTACAAAGTAAATAGAAATAGAGAATGTAACATTCTGTGATGCAGTTTATTTGACATGGTTTGAAATGAAAGATCATCAATAAAACTGGCAATTATAGGAATACAGGACATAATATGAGGTTGGATAAACATTGCATACAAACCAGGAGACAGTGAGATGATGGTAAAAGGTGTGTCTCTGGGTACATAAGGTGAACTGCCGCTGCAGAGAGCCAGCACAGATCCAACAAGCCAAGTTGCTGCCTTCTGCGTTGTTATGATTTTATGACCTGCAGATGTCTCTTTCAAGATCCATCAGGCCAGTTGGACTATAGAACATGGTTAAATCTTAACAGGGACTTAAAGTAGCTATTTGGAAATAAAATCATGCAAAAAGCAACAGATATTCGGTATTATCTGTCTGCTAAAATTCTTGAGTTATAAATTAAAGCCCTCAAAGTGCAACGAGATGCCAAGTTCGAGTTAAAAAAATTCCAGGGACTGCTATGGCCAATTGGCCTTGATTGCCATTCACATTTTAATTCTGTTTTGTACCATAGGGAATTGCTCCAGTCATTCAGGAACTTGGAAATAATCCAAACCCTGCTGCAATACAGGAACAAGCAGCAAATGTGATGCAGGGTTCAATGATGCACCAATTATGCTGAATGCCAAAACTGGTTGTTGTCTGTTTTGATTAGCTTTGTGAGAAGTTGCATACGTGTTTTTAATTTCAATACTACTTTTGGTCTTTTTTTTTTGCAAATAACGCTGTTCATTAATATTAACTGCGTTGTAGAACTTGAATTTATAGATAACTTTTATGACCCCAGATATCGTAAACTGTTAGACAGGCAATGAAGTACTTCTGAAATCCAGTTACTGCTGAAATTTTATAGCATATCCATACTGGAGAATGGAATGCTTTGCACTTATACAAGTTAAATAGACACAATTCAACAAATATCATAGGAAAAGAGAGTAAAGTAGTCAGGGGTACCAGTGGTATTGCCATGGATTAAGAAAAGGCTATTCCCCCAAGGCTATGCGTAACATGGCTGGATGCAGAAGAAACTACATTTTATCCTGTTCCAAGCATGAGCCTCAATGCCAAATATCTGGTCCTGTAAGCTTTTACTAATAGTTTTTTTTTAAATAGATGGAGAGAAGAAGCTGTCAGAGAGAGGCAGAATGATTAATAAAGTGAGTTAAAAACAATTCAAACAAAAAACATAAATTAGTCGAAAGCATATCAGCTGACATACGAACCTGTGTTTAGGTCCCGGCCAGGATTGAACGCTCGACTACTGACAGTTGTGGAAAGCCTGTCACAGCTGATGGTTTTTGAAACGTTAGCATTGAAATTCCCATCAAACCTGTAATTAAAATGAGAAAGGATCTAAAATGTAGCACAGCGCGAAAGCACAGTAACAAGACAATTCTGATTTTAAACTTCTAATTGAAGCCTGAGGTGTGAAATGGCCTTAATTTCAAACAAAAACCATTTGAACCCATTCTATTATACATAACATTTCAGACAGAATACAAGTTTTCATTCTCCTTCAATTTTTCCATCTTATCTGAAGGTGCTAATTGTTAGATTTTGGCTCCAGCTCCTTCTTGTATGAGTTGGGATAACAGATTTCAGCAGATTTGACACTGGGCAGGTTGAAAGTCATGGAGCAATACCTCATCGATTATCATCTCACGGTCGATCTTGTGGTGCAGTGGTAGTGTGCCTATCTCAGAGCTACGAGGCCTGGATTCAAGTCCCACTTGCTCCAGAGGTGTCTAATAACATCTTTGAACAGGTTGATTATAAAATATTGATCATCAACTCATGATGGCTCTTGTGGTACAGTGGTAGTGTCCCTGTCTTTGAGCCAGGAGACTCAAGTTCAAGTCCCACCTGCTCCAGAGGTATGTAAAAACTTCTCTGAGCAGGTCACTAGAAAAAAAATAAAAACAACATGTATCCCAAAGACAGCTCAATTATCATCTCAGCAATTACAGGAGCCAAGCATTCTTTTGAATCATTTTGTGAATTTAATTGAATAGTTCAGATGAAATGTCCAAAATACAATGATTTGTGTTGAAACAAAAAATGACCCCAGAAAACATTCAACATTTGAAGTTTGGATTTTCTGAATGCCAGCTCAAGCAAACGTAACTGACCAGTCAGTGAACTGTTCATGATTTTAAAAAAAAATCTATTTTGTTGGCAGGATGCTTTTCAAGGGCATACCAAACCAACTCCACCTCAATTCTCCTGAAGGTATGGATTAATACAGGGGTTTGATTCTGCGAGTATCAGCAGCTTACCCATCTTGCCATTTTTCTTGGATACATTCGGTAAGCTACTCAGCTGGCTGAGGTATCACATTCATGATCCCTTCGACACAGAGAATGAACAGCCCAGATCTATGGGTGAATCCTCAAAATGGTTTTCAAAACCTCAGTCAGCTTTACACCATGTTTAGTTCATAGTACTGAAAAAACCCTATCTTCCTCACCTTAGCCTCAGAAATGTCATCAGTCGTGAACAGGAAACACTTCTTTGATTACCATGTGAATGTCAATGAGAGTGACATTCCTACTAATGACAGGGAAGTATATCATATTAGAAACCCATCTAAAAGATTAAGTAATTTCAGAATTTTTGTGAGGAACAATGGATAGAGTTAGGCAAAGGATGGTGAACAAATAATAAACAATCGTCAGTTTTAAGGAGAAAATTAACTCTCAAGAAAGACTGGCTGCAGCATACTCATTTCTTCTCTATATAGGCGGTAAAAGCTCTTGATAACCCAGCAAATTATAATGCAAGTAACATGCAAATGAAAGAAGGAAATAGAAAAGACACACCATCAATTTACAGAATAGTTTCTGCTGTGACCAATGATGGAAAACCACATTTTGGTGGGGGGTGGTTTTGGTTTAATCGCTGAACTGTTAATCCAGAGACCCAGATAATGCTCTGGGGACCCAGAGTCAAATCTCACAATAGTAGGTGGTGGAATTTGAATTCAATAAAAAAAAAATCTGGAATTAGGAACCTGGTGACGACCATGAATCCACTGTCAATTATCGGAAAAACTCATCTGGTTCACTAGCGTTTAGGAAAGGAAATTGCTATCCTTACCTGGTTTGGCCTACATGTGACTCCAGACCCACAGCAATGTGGTTGACTCCGAACTGCCCTCTGGGAAATTAGGGTTGGGCAATAAATGCTGCCTAGCCAGTGACACCCTCAGCCCGTGAATGAATTTAAAAAAAAAAGGTCTTGTCCAGCAGACTGCTGAGAAAATCATTTCATCTTCGTGGGTCTCTGAAGTCAAGTAAACCAGCTGACTTGGTCAGAGCTACAGTTCAAATTTTGCAACTTCAAAGGAATATAGTTTGATCGTTAGTCAGTGGTAAACATCTTGGCATTGAAGCCAGGTGTTTTTGCCAGATAACAGTCACACATCAAGATTGTGTGAACACAAAACATCTGTACAAAATGCCATTGGCAATGCTTCATCCCTGGCTCTCCTGCCTGTGGACCTTTCGTCAATGGCACAACCTCAGACTCACTCCCTTTCTCGCACTAATTTAGTTGCATGGAAAATTAGCCATCACTTACTAAACTAGCGATTGAAGGCTATAGACCATTTCTCAGTTCTCCCACTTCTCTAATGTTTACCTGTAATCTCTTTACCTGACTGTAATGTTTATCCTTTTAACTTTATTTCTTGTTTTCAAACTTGAACTATGAATCACTGTAAGGTAACTTATTTTTTATTTCTCTATTTTGTATTTAAGATTTGTACCCAAGTACAATGTACCTAAGATGGTGCAATGTGAGGCAACATTGTAAACTTTTCACTGTATTTCTGCACTTGAGTACATGTGACAATAAACCTAATTCTAATCCCACACTGGTATAACTTTTTAAAAATCTCCCGTGCTCCAGGTATTTACCAAGGGCTACATGTGACAGATCTGTCCTTTCTGCTATTACTCAAGAATACCATCAATCATTATAATCCAATAGGCAAGCTAAACTTCAGGTTCTTATTTCATAGATAGAATCCCTACAGTGTGGAAGCAGGCCATTCGGCCCATTGAGTCCACACTGACCCTCCAAACAGCATCCCACCTAGCCCCTACCCTATTCTGCATTTCCCAACCTGGACGCTATGGGCAATTTAACATAGCCAATCCACCTAACCTGTACATCTCAGGACTACGGGAGGAAACCGGAACACCCGGAGGAAACCCACACAGACGCGGGGAGAACGTGCAAACTCCACACAGACAGTCACCCGATGATGGAATTGAACCCGGATCCCCGGCACTGTGAGGCAGCAGTGCTAACCACTGAGCCACTGTTTCTTTCTAGGTTCAATTCCCATGTAAACTGAGATAACAACCAGAAGATCGGCACTATGTTAACCATTGAGTTTCACAACGAAATAAATGCACTGTCCCACCTTATATTCAAAACAAAAGTCTTGCACTACACACTGAAAACAGGAGTAGTGATGATCCAGGTTCATCTACCAATTTGCACACTGTTGCAAGAAAGAATGCACCATCACAAGAACACTAAAGAAACTGGAGCACAGTTGGACTATATAGTCTATCCAGCCTGTTCAGCTATTCAATGTGATCATGGCTGATCTTGGACCTCAACTTCACCGTTCTGTCCTCTCCTCTAAATTCCCCAACAGACCAAACATCTGTCTAACTCAGCCTTAAATGTATTTAATAACGGAGACTCCACAACCCTCTGAGGCACAGAATTGCAAAGATTTAAAACGGCCCACGTTTTAAATACTCTGACCAGTAGAAACAATCTCTCAGCATCTATTCTCTCAAGATCCTTCAGAATCTTGTATCTTTCAAGGAGATCACTCTCATTCTCCTGAATTGTGAAAGCATGAAGTTGCTCATTTTGGAAGGGAGAACAAAAAAACAGAATATTATTTAAATGGAGAGAAACTGCAGAAATCTACAACACAAAAGACTTGGGGGTTATTGTGCATGAAACACAGGAAGTTAACACACAGATGCTGCAGGTAATCAGGAAGGCTAATGAAATGTTGGTCCTTATTTTAAAGGGGTTGCAGTATAAGAGAGGACAGTCTTAACACAACTGCATGAGCTGCTGGTGCAACCACATCTGGAGTAGTGAGCAGTTTTGGTCCCCTTGTTTAAGGGAAAGATATTGTTTCATCGGAGGCAATTCAATGAAGATTCACTTGGATGATCCATGGTATGGAAGGATTGTCTTATGAGCATAGATTAAACAGGTTGTGACTTTATTCACTCGAGTTTAGAAGAATGAGAGGTGATCTCACCGAAACATACAAGATTCTGAAGGGACATGACAGGGTAAATGCAAAGAGGGAGGGTCTCGGACCAGAGGGCTTGCCATAGAGAGTTGTGGGGGCAGAATCCTTGTGGACATTTAAGGTTGAGATAGATTCTTGATCACTAGGGGAAATGAAGGGTTATGAGGAAATGCAGGAAAGTAGATGTGAGGTATATCGGATCAGCCATGATTCTATGGAATGGTGGGTAGGCTCGAGAAGTCAAATGGCCTACTCCTGTTCCTATTTCTTATGGTATTATGAACTCCAGAGAACACAGACCTAACTTGTTCTGCCTCTCATCACTACACAATAATAGGCCATTGATAAAAAATAGATTTAATATAAATTCACATTACATCAGTCATTACAAATATTCAGATGGCACACAAAGGGTTAACATCCTTTCTTGTAAAAAGCTGTACGCTATTATTTCTTCAATTTCACACAAATATTACAGTTTGTTTCAACTTGCCCACGGTACCATGACTACAGCTGTGATGAGATTCTGCCTGCCCTTGTTGAGTGATCAAAAGATAGACTGAAATTCTATTTCCAAGAGCAGTCATTTCATTGCAATTTTCCCCTCACTTCTTCCTGGACGAACTATAATGAACAACTGATCGAAACACACAGTCTCCAGAGAGAAACTGCACAGCCTCAGTCTTCCTCTTTGATCGGACTCCCTTTGGAAACGTCAGTTCAGTCTTCAACTTGCGAGGCACTGGCTTGATTGATATCTGCTCTGATGTGCTGCAGCACTTTGAAATTCACATATTAAAATCCCATCAGACCAGGCTGCTTCTATTCTACGGAGCAGCTTCTGCAAGTGAACTACAGCTAATGCAGAACATAAGAACTGCGGTTTTGTTGGCAGCTCTTTGAATTTTATATCAAAACCCAGACTTTTAGCAAATTCCAGATCAACTTAAGTCAGACTGGTTTTATCACGCACAACAGTTTTCTAGAACGTTTGCATATGGAACGGTGCATATGGAAACTGGGAAGAAAATGTATTCTCAGACAAGGTTTCGAAGGTTTTCTAAAGTAAGGTCTACCAAAACAATTCTTCTGCATTTATCTACGTATTGTTTTCCTTTGCTCGAAGACGAAATGCTGTATTACAGAATATTTGACCTCATTTCCCCTATCTTTCTCATTTTCTCCTCTCCCAGAGAGTCGACTGATGATCTGGCAAGGTGGCACAGCCTGTTTAAGTTAGATGCATTTCATGACTATGTCTACTGCCAGCAGGCATTTCTTATCCTTCCATGTGGATCCATCATACTAAAGACCAAATATGACCAGTCTGACCACTACATATACCTTTAAGAAGAACAGCTATGATGGACAGGAACCCTTGCCATGTTACTTTTTGCTCAGTATAACTTGAGGCTAATTGTCACTACTGGTCAAAGTCAACGTCAACGTCAATATGAATTACAACAGTACCAACTAGCATTCAAACTTGGAACCTTTATAGCTTAAGTACCTCCGTCCCTAATAAGCAGGACTGTAAATCAACTAAATACAAGCAATATTAACTAAGGCTGTATGTAATAGTTTAACAATTGAAAATTATTGACAATCCAATTTTTATCAACAACCATCTCCTATTTAGATGTACACTTTTGATCATGAGCAAGATGCATGGTTAATTTTTCTCTGCAAAGCCTAGGGATAAAAAGTGTATCTGAAGCACTCCACTGCAACTACTGGTGAGATCAGTTAACTCAACACTTGGGTGAGATACTGGAGGGCTCCTGTGGTTTTTAAAACTGAACCTCATCATCAGAGGGCACCATTCACAGAAGAACAAAGAAAATGGAGAAAATTTATTTTCAAAACGCTTTAGCAAAGATGGAAAATTCAACAGATCATAAGCACATCAAAGCCAGAGGATCGCACAAATAACTATGTACCTCTACGTTTTGAAGGAATACCATTGGACTCGAAACATTGACTGTCTTTCCACAGAGGCTGCCAGACCTGCTGAATTTTCCAACACTTTCTGGTTTTATTTTAGATTTCTAGCATCTGCAGTACTTTGCTTTTAATAATTACTTATGTTAGCTATTAATTAGTTCCTCTGGTATATATTTCCAGCTCACATTCCATTTTTGCCAAATCCTATCACTAACATGTACCTTCATCAGGTAATTCATCCCCAGAAACAGATGCATTTAAATTATCCATCTTATGTGTAGATATTTTTAATCAACCTGTTCAGGTATGCCATGACACATCTCTGGAGCAGATGGGACTTGAACCCAGGATTGCTGGTCCAGAGGCAGGGACATTATACTTATCCCAATGAGGCTAATTCAACAATAAACCCTGTCAAATAATGCACCAGCCATCACTACCTTGGTGACCTATTTTCACTGACGTGGAACAATGAACACATTGGGACGTATTATAGTTTGATCATGGTTGTTGTTGGCCTCCAGAAGAGGGAGAAAAGTAAGAAAAAATGGCTTGAAAATAACATTAGAGTGACTAATGGCACTCACGAATATATTGATTGTTGGAATCTATGAAATGCAGGGAAAAGTACTTACTCCATCATTGAAGCAGGAATTGTGCAGCAGTCTTGGATGGCTGTCAATGGCGATGTCAAATGAGCCGTGTAGGATGCTTCAACCACCTGCTTGTTACGATTCACCACATCGAGATAGCGATTAAACTTCTCTCTTATCTTTTTAGCCAACTGGCAGAGGAATGGAAAAACACAACACGGGATGAGACTGTAGATCAACATCGCTACCAGCTTGCAATATTGCTGTGCTAAACTCAGGAATGTTGACATATTTTGTTCACCAAAGAGGGTCATAGAATGTTTACAGCATAGTAAGGGACCACTTGGGCTGCAGTAATTATTTCACTGTTGACAAATTAACTTTCTTCCAATCTTCTGACCTGCACATTTGCAGTCAAAATTTAATTTACATACTCCAATGTTCTAGTTAAACCTCTGAGAAATTTGTTGCGTAACGAGTCCTAGCTTCGTACCAAATAATACACTGACAACCCAAAGCTAATTTATGCTGAATAGGCTCAGTTTGGAGCCTGTGCCTGTAAGGTACATAGTCTTAAATTAATATCAAGTGGAATTCCTTCTGGCAGTAAAGAACGAGGGTGGAGAAGAGATTTTCATTCCATTTGTCTGTACTAAATTTGAACTAACATCAGAGATGAACGAACAACACAAAACAATCATTTGCAGAGACTTCAAAAAAGTAGCCAATGAAAAACCAGGATCATGAAAAATACAAGACCCCCATTTACCCAATGGATTAAATGATATGGCCAAGGGATGATGAAGCCTCAGAGACTGTGCTGAGGTACATGGGTGGAGTGGTAGACTAGAGGTATATGAACATATACACACACATGAATTTGGAGCTGGAGTAAACCATTCATCCCCTCTAACCTGCTCCTCCACTCAACAACATCATGACTGACTTCACTGTAGTCTCAACTCCATATTCCCATCTACTCCTGACAACTATTGATTCCCTTGTTAGTCAAGAACCCATTTACCTTTGAGCTTTCACTACATTCTGGGGAAGAAAAAATAAATCTTCCTCAACTCAGTCTCAGACAGCAGACCCATACTTTGAAACTGTGCTCCCTTGCTTTGATCTCAACATCATTTCAACATCCATCTTTTCAAGTCCCTTCTGGGTCATACACGTCTGAACAAATTCACCTCCTATCCATTTAAACTGCAATGGAAAGGGGCCCAGCATTTCCTTGTAAGATAATATCCCCCTCCCAAGATTAGATGAGTGAACCTTTCCTGAACATCATCTAATGCACTTATATCCTTTCTTAAATAAGGACATCAAAACAGCTCACAGTGTTCAGATGTAGCCTCACCAGACACTAGCAAAATATTGCTACTTTTCGATTCCAATCTTTTTTCAATCAATACCAATATTCTACTTGCCTTTCTAATCATTTTCTGTAGCTGCATTTCAACTTTTTGTGATTCACGTACAAGGACAAACATTTCCTGCTGCTACTTAAGGTTCTACAATTTTTCTCCAATATGCTCCTTTCCCATTATTTCTGCCAGAGCTGTAGCATTTACATTTTCCCACAGTGGGCATAGATTTGGTAGTTGGAGTACAATCAATTAAGCTATCTATATCCCCTTGCAGACAATGCCCTATCTGTGTATCATCAGTAAATTTACCAATCATATATGCAGTCTCTTCATCCAAATCATTAAAATAAGTTGTAAATAATTGAGACCCAACACCGATCCTGATGGCACCGATCCTGATGGCACTGATCTCATTACATCCTGCCAATGTGAAAAAGAAGAACCATTTATGCTGATCCTCTGCTTCCCAGTACCCAACCAATCCTGTGTCTGTGTCAATACGTTACTACCCACACCATGAGCTCTCATTTTGTTACAGGGTTTCAGAAAATTGGGTGAGCAGGTAGGAGAAGCGTGCCCAGCATCTTCCTGCCACCGACTGTAATGGCAGGGTGGGAAGGACATCTGTCAAGAGGGCAGCTGAGGATATTAACTAACCAATTAAGGGCTTCTTCAGAGATATCCTCTACCATGTGGTAAGACCACCATAGAGTAACAGAAGTATACAGCACAGGCCTTTGGCCCAACTCATCCATGCCCACCAGGTTTCCTAAACTGAACTGGTCCCATTTTCCTGCCCTCTAAACACCAGGTATGCCATGGCATACAAGTTGGAGAATCTGAGGGATGGAAAGTGAGGGTTTGGAGGGGTAGAGGGAGGGGTCATGCCTACTGATTGGGCACCATGTTGCCAAAGGAGGGCTGCCCTTTGGAAACCATCCTTCATTCCCATTGCTCAAGCTTTCCTGACTGGGACAATGTAGCCCACACTTTACTGGATTCTGGTCTGGTGTCCTTGGTGATACAGCAGGCTGTTGCAGTCCCAGTAGAGGCCACAGCTTCCTTGGGCCAGCAGTTCTTGAAGACTGCATCACATCCCTATAGTACTGGGGTAGTCACATTAGCTCATGAAATAAGCCTCCCATGTAGCTAATTGCCCGAAGCCAGTTAAATCGTTTCAGGGCTCACAGGATGAGCAGGAGCTAGGTTGATCCTGACTTTTAGGCTGGGGACAAGCCCACTTTTGCCTCATACGAGCCCAACCATAATATAATGCTTTGTTGTACAACTGAGCATCCCAATTGGCCTGAACTTGGTTTAGCTTTCCTCATCTGAAGGAATGGAATTTACATTAGCACAAAAAGAAATTTTAAATTATCTAAAAATTAAAATCAAGCAAGGCACACACATAACAACATTCTTCACCAACCCCAACCATAATTACTTCAACCTGCTCAATTCACAAGTATACCATTCTTTCCAGTAGTTAATCATACGTAAGAGGACCTAGCCGTGTGTGGAAGCAGCATTGGTGGTGGTGAAGAAAAAAAGAGAGACAAGAGAAGGGTGAAATAGTAATGGGTGTTTCTTTTGATTATGATCCCGAAAAATGATTGGGAAAGCATAGATGAAGGAATATTTCAAGATCATGGTCTGATGCAAGCCTGCCACTGTCAAATAATCTTTTGACATCCAGGTTCCATGCATTTTAAAACTATTATTTGTAAAAAAGATGTCGGAAGATGAATGGTCTCAATCATATCACCCAGATTTGGTATCTGCAACCAAGGAAAGTGCACAAAATATTGATATCTTTTAACTGTTGAAAACAGTAGCACACTCTGCAATGAATAACAAATTGTCCTCAAAATATTCAGAAAGCAACATCAAAGCACAACTGTTTCGCTATTCTGTGCTTATATTTGCATTACTTACATGAATGCTTAAAACATTATGAATTTTTTATAAAGTGCATACAAATTTACTGAGTTTGTATCATCCCTAATTGTTATACATGATTAAAACATTAAATTACAGGCCCCTGTCAACAGCAAAGTAGAAATTAATATATAGGGGAGGAAAATCATGAAAGCATTTCTTTGATCATTTGCTCATAGGCCCTCTACATTTGTTTGCTACATGGTATAATTTTAGATTCTAACTGAACACAAACATAAAAGGAACCCCTAACAAAAAACTGCAGCATTTTTTTTAAAAATGCCAATGTTGTCACTAGACTTATTTAATACATGATGTCAGAAAGTCAAACAAATCATTTTTAAGTCAATACATTTTAACACTGTGACATTGGTTTCTTATGAAAAGCTTCCAATTAGTCAACTTAATAAATTTCTCCACCCTCTGGTTTTCACTCTAGATTTACAGAGCTCAAAATTCTCCATGCTACCATAAAGAAGGCTACAACTGAAGACTAAATAAGGATATCACTAAACTGGAGAGGGTTCAGAAAAGATTTACCAAGATATTGCTGGGAATGGAGGGTTTGAGTTATAAGGAGAGGCTGGATAGGCTGGGACATTTTCCACTGCAGCGTAGGAGGTAGAGGGGTAACCTTTATAGAGGCTCATGAAGTCGTGAGGGACATAGATAAGGTGAATAGCAAAGGTGTTTTCCCGAGGGTAATGGAGTTCACAACAAGAGGGCATATTTTTAAGGTGAAAGGAGAAAGATTTAAAAGAGACCTGAGAGGCAACATTTTTCACACAGAGGGTGGTGCATATGTGGAATTAACTTCCAGAGGAAGTGGTAGACGCAGGTACAGTTACATCATTTAAAAGACATTCAGACAGTTACATGGATAGGAAACGCTTAAGGGTTATGGTCCAAATGCAGGCAAATGGGATTAGTATAGTTTGGGAGACTGGCATGGACGAGTTGGACCGAAGAATTTGCTTCTGTGCTGTATGACTCTGTCTGTAGTTAGAGGCTTATTGTGCAGACCATTACTTCTCCCAAACCTTAGTAACCTCCTCAAGTTTGTTGAAGGCAATGACTCCTTCCTAGGATATGGTACTAAAGGCAAAAAGTCAAACTCCTGTACTTCGCCCTAATGTCAATAATTTATGCGCACGTTTTGACAGGGGATGCTGGGAAGTTATTTGGCCATGGAGCAGTTGTCAGCTACAGAATCTTAGTGATATTCTAACACAATGGCTGGAATCCCAACCTAATGTTGGCATTTATTTTGAGACGACATGAATATAAAAGCAGGGATGTACTACTGAGGCTTTATAAGGCTTTGGTCAGGCCACATTTGGAGTATTGTGCCAGTTTTGGGCCCCATATCTCAGGAAGGATGTACTGGCCCTAGAGCGGGTTCAGAGGAGGTTCACGAGAATGGTCCCAGGAATGGAAAGCTTAACATATGAGGAACGTTTGAGGACTCTGGGACTATACTCAGTGGAGTTTAGAAGGATGAGGGAGGATCTAATTGAAGCTTACAGAATACTGAATGACCTGGACAGAGTGGATGTTGGGAAGATGCTTCCATTGGTAGGAGAGACTAGGACCCGAGGGCACAGCCTTAGAACGGAGATAAGGAGAAACTTCTTCAGCCAGAGAGTGGTGAATCTATGGAATTCACTGCCACAGAAGGCTGTGGCGGCCAGGTCATTGAGTGCATTTAAGACTGAGATAGATAGGTTCTTGATTATCAAGGGGGATCAAGAGTTACTGGGAGAAAGCGGAATAGGGTTGAGGAACTTATCAACCATGATTGAATGGCGGAGCAGACTCGGTGGGCCGAATGGCCTAATTTCTGCTCCTATGTCTTATGGTCTTATGGTCTTAAAAAGGAG